GCTGACAAAGCTGAACATAATCAATAAGTATATATTGTGACCGTTAATTTATACATGTATACCTATTAATAAATAGGACAGGCTGATTAGATTAGGAAGCACCAAATTTCTAAATGCCTTAAAAATCTGCTTGGTGTCCACTCACAAATTGTCCCCTTTAAAGCTGTCCAAAGGAAGAAGCTAACTCAATTCTGTCATACATTTTAGCATCTTCAGCTTCTCATCTATTGCATATCCATATATTGAACTCCTGTTCTGATTGTGGTCTCTAAAGTGATTTGATGAACTCTTGTAGAATCTGAATTTGCATTATACATTTAATATGAACTATAACTGCATTGGTGACATACTTTTTGAGATGGATAAAGCAGGTGCATATTGTGACAAGTCATATGAATATCTCAGGTGGTTCAATTTGTAAGAATCAAATTCCTTGTAGTTATTAAATATGAGGAAATTGTTGGCAGCCTGGTTATGATTAATGTTGTAGAAGATTGTGATATGAATCTCTGCTGTTGACTGATATATATTTCAGTATGGAATTATCATTAAACAATATAACAGTTATCACTGATCCTTATTCCATATATTTTGTAAGTCAGTTATAAGTGCATTCTAGATCCTGGACCCATTTTCCAAAGAGGCATAGTAATCAGTATATAAATGTCAAGCAAAGTGGAAAAACAAACACAAATACATATAAAAAGATTGAATCACTTTGTTACATATATACTGAAAGCAGTTGCCCTTTTAATTTTCAAGCTCTTTCTGCAACGGGATTTACATTTTTGTACATGTATGACAATATAAATATATTTAATTTTATTCCAAAATAAACTTTAATATATACATTTAGCATAATTGAGGCTTCATTATTATACATGTATATTATTAATTATATATGTGTATATTTAGAAAATGGTTGGCAATTACCAAAATGTTCAGACATGGAACAACCTTTCAATTTATAATGTGTAAAAAACTTTTATACTTTTTACTGTGAAATATATGTACAAATGACTTTTATATCCCCCAAATATTTGATAAAAGTTCATGGTCAATTTAAAGTTGGGTAGTACTTGACAATTTATTAAGTAGTCTCTCTATCTTAACCTGGTAAGGTGTTTGCCCATGAATTTATTTGTATATGATTAGTTAATTTTGTTTAAACAGTAAGTACAAAAAAAAATGTATGGTTTCTCTTGGAATTGTGTCAAGGACTGTAAACATTTTGTGAATACAGAAATTCAGCATGTAAAGTTCAATTGTCTGTCCCATAAGTGACAAGCACTATTCAAGTATAGATTTCTTTAAAGTTGATTTTGCCAATTAAATCTTGTTAAAAAAAGAAGAACAGATTTATCCAATATATTTCACTCCCGAAAATGTATAGTTTCTTTTGAGTGTGTGTGTAGTTTTCTCCTCTTTTTGTCAATACACATGTTTTCATCACATAAACAAATATCAGGTAAACAAAATGCAAATTTGGATATACTTTTATTAAAGTATTTTTCATGTTATGATTATTAGTGGAAAAATCAAGTTTTTTGTCTATGACATTTTCAAGTACTTGCTTTAAGATGTTTACTTGCTAACAGAACTTTGAGACTTTGGAAGAGTTAACTAACAGTCAGAAAGTATAACCTTGATATTGTCAACCATTTTACCCAGAGATAACATTGAAATAGTCCTGAAATAGCATAATACATTTGTATATCTTTAGAGGGGTGACTGAACTTAAGTATAGAAATTTAAAACACAGTTTGATAGTGGTGTAATAGGCTGATTAAACACAATTTATGAGTATGAGTATTTTTCACATTCAGTAAAAATAAATTGTGTAAGTTGTGTTAGATATGTTGAATTGTTCACCCCTTAACTGTAGATTTTTACTGTGATAGAAACTGTCTCATTGAGCAGCTTAGTGTGTGTTTTTGAGAATACACTGGTCTAATTACTATACACTGTATTGGAAAGTAGATAATTTTACTCTATTTTTGAGAATACAGGAGTCTTATAAACTGTATTGGAGAGTAGATAACTTGACTCTATTTTTGAAAATACACTGATCTTACTATACACTATTGGAGAGTAGATAACATTACTCTGATTTTGAGAATACACTGGTGTTCTTATAAACTGTATTGGAGAGTAGGTTACTTTACTCTGTTTTTGAGAATACACTAGAATTATTGTACTGAATTGGAGAATACATCTGTTGCACTTTATAGGAGAGTAGACTACTTTACTCTGTTTCTGAGAATACACTGGTGTTGCTATACACTGTATTGGAGAGAAGATTACTTTACCCTGGTTTTGAGAATACACTGGTCTTGCTATACACTGTATTGGAGAGTAGATTGCTTTACTCTGTTTTTTAGAATACACTGGTCTTGCTATACACTGTATTGGAGAGAAGATAACTTAACTCTGCTTTGGAGAATACACTGGTATTGCTATACACTGTATTGGAGAGTAGATTACTTTATTCTTGCTATACACTGTATTGGAGAGCAGATTACTTCCCTGGTGCATTCTTCAAAAACAGTCAAGTAATCTGTATCCAATACAGTGTATAACAATACTATTGTTATACACTGTATTGGAGAGTAGATTACTGTTTTTGGATAATACATCGGTATTGCTATACACTGTAATGGAGAGTGAATTACATTACTGTATATTGTATTGGGAGATTATATATAAATTGTCTTGCTTTACACTATATATAATAAGAGTACATCTGTATGAGAAAGTACAATCCCTTCGTACGTCCCAAAGTTGGTTTCCGTTCTCTAACTTTAGTTTGCCTCAACCAAATGTTATGAAACTTATACATAATGCTTATTACCACAAAACATCGATCAAGTTTGAATTTTGGTGCCGTCACTCTAACCATTCTAGAGTAATGCCCCTTTACAAATGGAAAAATTGCTGAATTTTTCATTTCTGTTCTCTAACTTTAGGTTGCCTCAACCAAATGTTATGAAACTTATACACAATGCTTATAACAACAAAACACAGATCAAGTTTGAATTTTGGTGGTGTCACTTTAACTGTTCTAGAGTTATGCCCCTTTATAACTTTATATGATATGCAAGCAGGGGCATCATCTGTGTCCCATGGACACATTCCCAATTTATTTTTATGCCCTCGCAGTAGCGGAGGGGGCATTAAGTTTTACCCTTGTCTGTACGTCCCAAAATTGGTTTCTGTTCTCTAACTTTAGTTTGCCTCAACCAAATGTTATGAAACTTATGCACAATGCTTATTACCACAAAACACAGATCAAGTTTGAATTTTGGTGGCGTCACTTTTACTGTTCTAGAGTTATGCCCCTTTAAAAATGGGAAAATTGCTGAATTTTTTGTTTCCGTTCTCTAACTGTGGTTTGCCTCAAGCAAATGTTATAAAACTTATACACAATGCTTATTACCACAAAACACAGATCGAGTTTGAATTTTGGTGGCGTCACTTTTACTGTTCTAGAGTTATGCCCCTTTACAAATGGAAAAATTGCTGAATTTTTTTGCATCTTCGTTCTCTAACTTAAGTTTGCCCCAACCAAATTTTATGAAACTTATACACAATGCTTATTACCACAAAACTCAGATCAAGTACAAATTTAGTTAGCATCACTTTTACTGTTCTTGAGTTATGTCCCTTTATAACGTTAAATGCATGCGGGGGCATCATCTGTGTCCCATGGACACATTCCCCATTTATTAGTCCCATACTGACCAACTCTTCTACAATAATTAGGTGTCAACTCTTCAAAAACATGTTAGTTCTCACTCTAAAGAAATTATTTTTAGTGGTTTATTAGTCCCCTTATGGTCCAAACCGTTTTGGAATTAGGGGCCAAAAAACAAGGATTTCCTGGTTTCCAGACAATAACTTGAGTATAAATCATTTGATGACATTGTACTGCTGAATCTAACCGTGTATTTAGATTTATGATTTTGGGCCCGAATTTTAAGTTGGTCAATTTTGAGGTCCAAAGGGTCCAAAATTAAACTTTAAAATTTAATTATTTGGGTTCTTTGATATGCTGAATCTTTTAGGCACGGTTTTCAAATTGGTCCAAAATTAAACTTAGTTTGATTTTAACAAAAATTAAATTCCTGGGGTTCTTTGATATGCTGAATCTAAAAAAATTATTTAGATTTTGGAATTTGGGCTCGTTATCAAATTGGTCCACATCGAAGTCAAAAGGGTCCAAAATTAAACTTTGTTTGATTTCATGAAAAATGAATTCTTGGGATTCTTTGATATGCTTGCAGAATCTAACCATGTATTTCGATTTTGGATATTGGACCATAAAAGGTAAATGTCCAAATTCAAATTTTTAAGGTCTTAGACCACATTCATTCTGTGTCAGAAACCTATGCTGTGTTAATTATTTAATCTCTATCCAAATTCAGAGCTGTATCAAGAATGAATGTTGTGTCCATACTTGCCATAACTATTCAGGGTTGGTCCTCTCTGGGGATATCAAGCTGTGCCCTGCTGGGAGCATTTTATTGCCTAATATCTTGAAAACTATAAAAGATAGATAAACAATTTAAATATCAAAACTGATCAGCAAGACAAGATCTACAAATAAATCAAATTTTGCAGACATCATTAGTTGACTCCATATAGGAGTGATTGCCCTTAAAAGAATTTGTTTACCCTTTTTTTGTGTTTTGGGTTAAAACTAAAGAAGATAGTAATACAAGATCAACAAAAATGAGATTTTTGTCGTTAATTCTATTCTAGTCCATATTGTTGGAGAGAGTCCATTGTTGAAGATGCACATAGACCTATGTGAGTGACACTGTAGTTATAGATTGTCTTCTGTGCTACAAGTAGGTATTTGCTATATATCTTATTTATTTGTTTTCTCGCAAATATCTTTAGACCTACAGCACTGATACAGATTTTCTGCAGCGTTAGCTTTTGTGCCAAATATTCAGCAATATTTTCAGTATTTCAAAATGTTTTGTTTTTACTTGCAGTATCACCACTCAAGGCATTGGCAAATAGTCATGAACCAAAGTCAGCACCACCTATCAGGAATCATGAACATACACATGCCATCATTTTCAAACGGGATGATTCTGTTAGGGTTAGTGATGTATATACTAAGCATGTTAAGTCCTTTAGTTTATTTCTAGATATCATATTTGCCATATTACGTGCTACATCTAAAATATCCTATATTTTCCAACTGTATAAAGAATATATGCCAGAAAGTCTTTACATATTTGTTTTTCAGCAATTTTGTTAATCACATTTCTTTTTATATAGCACTTAATGTGACAAGTATTATTCTAGGAGATGGATTTTAAATTTTGCACAGACTTCACAAAATATGCTGGACCGTTGGACAAATCCAACAAATTTGATATGGGTCACTCACTCAGACAAATATTGGCCATTAATAATTCACTGTCGTCCACACGTCCAAATTTCCAGATAGCAAAATTGATTGATCCAATATTCAGGTGCCAAAATCAACATAAAACAAGTTTCCATATCGTTTTTGTTGCCACAATTGACTATTTTGACTTAAACCTTAAATATTGTATCATTCCATTAACTTTCTTCGTGAAAATTCATGATTTATGCTTTTATAAATCAAGGGATTCTTTGAAAATATCAAAGCTTATTGTCTAACTGATTTTTGGTCTATCAGAATTAATGATTGCAGTTTGTCTGTCTAAATGTCCAACAGTCCTTTGGTCAATTTAGTGAAGTTTGTATGCATTACAAGTTTTTAGTTTGTAGAGATCAGCATAGAAATTAAGATTTTTAAGATTAAGATTTAAGACTGACATCTCCAAGTATTCAAATTTATCATTCTAATGCAAAATCTGTACAAACAAATTTGGATTAGAAAATTTGAATCAGCATAAATATATTTCTTGGTATGTCAATACCCCTTGTTTGTTATGTCTTTGAAATGGTATCCAAAATTTGTTATCCACTTACACACATAATTTCATCATAGTCTCCACTGGAAAGAATAAGCAAAATAGAGAAAACCTCCTTTATGTTTAATTTTTCCATGATTAGGCCTAATTTAGTGAACTAACATGGCTTCAGACTTGTGTACTGGATGCAGGTTGCCATAGTGCATTAGCTCTGATGGTTATTAAGTCAATGAGTACATATGCTAATAACTTAACCATTGTGGCATGCATGTAAAATATATGTAGAAAATACACAAATTTTTATTCAGGTGAAATTATGACAAAGCTCAGATTAAAAATGTTTTGGATTTTTTTTGGCCTGAAAATGATTATAAATGACAATATCACCTTATTAAATGGATTGTTAATTTCATTGCAGGATGCTACTGAAAATTTGTATCCAATTGACTTTTTTATGAAGATTTTTCTCTTTGTATATCAACTTATAATCAAGCCGTCCATATTTATTCAGGACACTGTTTATGCATTTATTTTAAACCCCATCCTGTTTGTAACCTATTAAAATTTGAACCAGTTAATGTACATTCTGGCAAGTGAAGAGCCTGATTGACCTGTTCTTAAAAATCATTGACAGTTAAATATGTATATATTGCCTGACCATTGTAGATGCCATACCAAGGTTCAATTCACGAGGAGGTAAGGTCATCTGTAGCTATTAACAACCTTGCACCTCTGCTTACCTCAATACACAATACACTGGCTGGTATATTATCAAGAAATCTGTCCAACATGGAACTAACAACGTTTGTTCCTGTGAACATTTGTAGCTTTTCAAGTGAAATTATGTAGCTTGTATTTTGTGAACCCCAACTAGCATACTAATTTTTATGCCCCGGCTGTAGCGTAGGAGGCCTTAAGTGTTACCCTTGTCTGTCTGGACATACGTCACATACGTCCCGAAATTGGTTAACGTTCTCTTACTTGAGTTTGCCTCTACCAAATGTTATGAAACTTGTACACAATGCTTATTACCACAAGACTCAGATCAAGTTTGAATGTGGGTGGCATCACTTTTATCATTTTAGAGTTATGCCCCTTTACATTTTTCGTTTCTGCTCTCCAACTTAAGTTTGCCTCATTCAAATGTTATGAAACATATAGTATACACAATGCTTATTGCCATAAGACTCAGATCAAGTTTGAATTTGGGTGGCATCACTTTTATCATTTTAGAGTTATGCCCCTTTACATTATTCGTTTCCGTTCTCTAACTTAAGTTTGCCTCAAACAAATGTTATGAAACTTAAACACAATGCTAATTGCCACAAAACTCAGATCAAATTCGAATTTGGGTGGCGTCACTTTTACCGTTCTTGAGTTATGTCCCTTTATAACGCTGTATGCAAGCATCATCTGTGTCCTATGGACACATTCTCCATCTATTTTAAATGTAGCCAGCAGCTAAGTCCTAATAATTTTCATCCCTGTGTCTTTGAGTATGGAGATATATTCTGATGTTATTCCTTAGCTAGGTTTAATTCTTACAATTTTTGTACCTTTCACTTGGGGTGTCTCAACTTGGGATTTTAAGTACAGACGTGCAGCTGGGATTTCAAAAATGTCCCCATTCATATATTAAAGACTTGGTGAATTCATAACCTATTCTTGAATTTCTCAGTTGCCACATATACAAACTGTGACATCTTAATTTGATATAAAAGGATAACTTAATGTATGTCAATTAAATTTTAGCAGATAGAGATGTATACTACATGACATGGGGTCACTCAAATGAAATAGATATAAGATGTGGTGTACAGTATATAATGAACAGCCTTCTAATCCAAAGATGAAATTATTGACATATTACCTTGATAAAATAACAACTCATTGATAAATTTGATATATCAAAAAAGTGACCCATTCCAGGGGCACATCATTTATATACCTTAAGTAAGATGGGAAGAACCCCCCTCCCCCTTTGTGACCTTTTGCCAATAAGATTTCCATCAACTATGTTCCTCCCATCAATATGTGTAACAATATATTTTTTAAGTGAAAATATATTTATGTATATTTGTATTGAATAAAAGATAAATGTTCCCACATATTTAGTCTTTCCCAGGGGATGTTTATACCAGCCAGTGTGACTTTTCAGGAAGTATATTGTGTCCTTGACAAGTAAAATAATAGATATATCTGGCTTTATGTTGCAAGTTTCTCCATGTGTCCAAGTTTGATGTGGCTCCTTAGCTTGGCAAAGGAATCTGTAATGAACCGGTCAAACCAACCATTTGACGGACATTGACATTCATGTGGGTAAACAGAAACTCATAAATGTCCAACATAATGGAAAATGGGAAAAAAACCAGTTTACTTTACATGATTTATTTCACAAATTCTAATAATTTTCATCCATTCTTAAAAAAATTAAAACGTAAGATTTTATTCTGTCAGTTCAAAGCTGATAGGTTGTTTACCTTTTGCACAAGACGTAATTAAACGTTGCACGACATTATATAATTTTTCTGTCATTTACCTGGATAAAATTTATGTAAATCTGTAATTTATAGTTGCAAGTAGGAAAAATAAGAGAATTTATTGTCATGTAACATGCTTGGTTAACGGAAGTTGACAGAGAAAGCTTGTGACAGGCATTTACAATTAGCATATGTTGTTACATCATTTTTTTCCTGTATTCACATTATAGAAATACTACTAAGAGGTAGCTAAAGGAACTTTTAACAGCTTCATTTCTGTTTTCTTTACACCATGAAATATTAATATATAAATCACTGTATTGACTACATTATATTCATTTCTGATAAACTGTTTGTGTAGACTAAAATTAGGGATGCTTTTTGTGGATGTCATGGGTCAATATTTTAGAATGTTTTATGATTATAATTTGCAGTTACAATTATTTATAGAAATTATTGAAACTAAATATTGTATTTAAATTCAGATTACTCAAATTCAAATTAAAACTTTGGTTTGTCGGTCAGGTTAGATTAAAAGCAGTATATATCTGTATTTAGAAAGGTAACAGCTGATTGTGAGAGTGGCCTAGTTAAAAAAAATAGCATATGTAGGTAGGGTGACAATTAGACTGCCCTATTTAATATATAAATGGAAATAATTTGACCTATATTTTTATTTTATATTTACCAGCATTAAAAATATTCATGGCCATGCCTTGGGAAAAGTTAAAACAATATTATCTGCTAAGCTGAATATTGCAGCTTATATAGATCATATGATCTATTTTCCATCACATCATCCTTTGCCTGTTGTTAACTTTTTCAAGATCCACTCCTCTGATACATCTGGGCTAATTACACCATACTTGACCACAGTCATAATCATCATTAATAACTGTGTAATTGTGCCAGCTGACCTGCTTATATGGTTATAATTGTCTATCTATACTAGAAATAGAACATTGGGTCAAATGCATATAATTGTCAAGTCATGGAAATTAAATGAATGAATTGGTGAGTGCCTTTTGAAATTTTCATAAAATTGTATGAAATATTAAATGATATTAATTTAGCTAGATTATGCTAGTATGTTACTTAGTTGATTTTTAATCTAATCCAGCATCCAATATGGCCACCTTTACTCAATAACTGACAGGGACCTTGAAAAAGAAATTCACCTATGAAACCATCAGGCCAGTTTGAACCCAGTTTTTCTTTATTGTTCAATGATGTTTTGTTTCAAAATGATACCATATATGATAAGCTATTAACATAATATATATATATATATATATATATATATACTGGTTGTCAAACTGAGTTGTTTATGTTATGATACCAGGTAATCAATACAGGCTCCTCAGATCCACCAGTGGTCCAAGACCATACACTAATATTATACTGGCACCTCAGATCAACAAATGCTCCAAGATCATACACCAATATTATACAGGCTCCTCAGATCAACAAATGCTCCAAGATCATACACCAATATTATACAGGCCTCTCAGATCTACTTATGCTCCAAGATCATACACCAATATTATACAGGCTCATCAGATCTATTTATACTCCAAGATCATACACCAATATTATACAGGCTCATCAGATCAACAAATGCTTCCAAGATCATACACCAATATTATACAGGCTCCTCAGATCAACAAATGCTTCTAAGATCATACACCAATATTATACAGGCGCCTCAGATCAACAAATGCTCCCAAGATCATACACCAATATTATACAGGCTCCTCAGATCAACAAATGCTCCCAAGATCATACACCAATATTATACAGGCCTCTCAGATCCATTAATACTCGCAAGATCATACACCAATATTATACAGGCCTCTCAGGTCCACTTATGCTCCAAGATCATACACCAATATTATATAGGCTCCTCAGATCCATAAATGCTCCCAAGATCATACACCAATATTATACAGGCTCCTAAAACCAACAAATGTTCCCAAGATCATTCACCAATTTTATACAGGCTCCTCAGATCCATTAATGCTCCCAAGATGATATACCAATATTATACAGGCTCCTCAGATCAACAAATGCTCCCTAGATCATACACCAATATTATACAGGCTCCTCAGATCAACAAATGCTCCCAAGATCACACAACAATATTATACAGGCTCCTCAGATTCATAAATGCTTTCAAGATGATATACCAATATTATACAGGCTCCTCAGATCAACAAATGCTCCCTAGATCCTACACCAATATTATACAGTCTCCTCAGATCAACAAATGCTCCCAAGATCATACACCAATATATTACAGGCTCTTCAGATCCATTAATGCTCCCAAGATGATATACCAATATTATACAGGCTCCTCAGATCAACAAATGCTCCCAAGATCATACACCAATATTATACAGGCTGCTCAGATCCATTAATGCTCCCAAGATGATATACCAATATTATACAGGCTCCTCAGATCAACAAATGCTCCCAAGATCATACACCAATATTATACAGGCTCCTCAGATCAACAAATGCTCCCAAGATCATACACCAATATTATACAGGCTCCTCAGATCCATTAATGCTCCCAAGATGATATACCAATATTATACAGGCTCCTCAGATCGACAAATGCTCCCAAGATCATACACCAATATTATACAGGCTCCTCAGATCAACAAATGCCCCCAAGATCATACACCAATATTATACAGGCTCCTCAGATCCATTAATGCTCCCAAGATCATACACCAATATTATACAGGCTCCTCAGATCCATTAATGCTCCCAAGATCATACACCAATATTATACAGGCTCCTCAGATCAACAAATGCTCCCAAGATCATACACCAATATTATACAGGCTCCTCAGATCAACAAATGCTCCCAAGATCATACACCAATATCATACAGGCTCATCAGATCCACTTATGCAGTATTATCACATAATGTACAACCTGATCACATCAGAATGATTACCTATTCTTTACATGCTTTAAACAATTTAAATAAATTGCGATGTTTTTATTTCAGTTTTCATTGGATTCAGATCTAGATAAATTAGATATAGAAGATTTAGGTAAGAATATATGTGTAGTACATAAACATCTTTCTGGAAAAAGTTAATTGACAGCAATGAAATACTAAAAATAAAAAAAAAGCCATTACAACAAATAGATAGGGCTTTTACAAACCTGACAACACAAATAAAGCAAAATAAACACTTTAAGGGCATTATACGGTCTTCAGCAATGGACAATACCAGTATGACAAGCTTTTAATTGTGTTGTCTAGGCAAATTGTAAATGCATTAAAAGTGAAAATATAATATCTACAAATATGCAATACTTAAAAGTCTCAGAATTGTACAAGGGGACAGTGAAAACCACTGACCTTAGAATATGATTATTCAAAATATCATTAATAACCCATGATCAATCATGAAAGTCAAAAGTTTTGTTGTCTTTACAGTATAGGAAGTTGTCTGATATGCTATATGTATTATATACACCAATTAAAGTGCTAGCCGGATGGGGTGTATCTAATTTACACCCTAATAGTATGGTTAATTGAAAATGATAGCTTTTGACAGTCACTGTACTTTTTAAGTAGAAATCATAGTTATTTCATAAACTGATTGTATTCAGATACATGTATTCAAAGCTGAAGGTTAGATAAGACCCCAAATATGGACACTTTCTCTAGCTAAAATTTCAAAGGAGGATTTAAAAAAAGCTACTTTCATCAAATACAGTCCTTACCAAATGATTCTTCTGCTTTAATTTCTTTTTATTCTTTTGAAATAGAAACATCCTAGATCTGACATACAAATGTGGTGACATCTACATTTAAAAATTCATCATATTGGTTTATTTTAGTAAACATTTCTTACAAAGATATAGCTGTGATAAGTTTAGAAACTAGTTGTACTTTATCAATAGTTATAAAACAAATAGGTTATTTTATTTATAAACATTATTAGATCTTTTCAACAATGCCATTTTTGTGGTAAAACATTTCCTGCGTTACATGACATGTTGCTTGATTGTGTCAAAGCTTTTAAGGCTTACCTAAGTATTTTACTATCTATTTTGATTTTTATTGCCTGATCTTTTATAGAACAATTGACTTTTTGTTTGTTATAGTACATATGATCTTTCTGTTTTCAGATGAAAACACGGAGCAAGCATTTGCAAAGTTCATGCGAGCCCATAAGTGTTATGACCTTATTCCCACTAGTGCCAAACTTGTTATATTCGACACATTATTAAATGTAAGTATTTGATCTATGTCTCTGTATTGAAATGGCAGGCATGCTTGGTCTATTCAACAGTCTCACTCAACCCAAGGGTTTAGTATGTGATCCTAAGGAAAAAATAGTGTGCTTTAGGTAAGACAACTGACATTCCCTTTTTACCCCTGACTCTTTAAATATTATTTGTTGTCAGCTTAAAAATATTTAATTCCAATCTATTTTAGACCTTAAAAACCAATTTTGATTTGTCTCTCATAACTTTTGGTATAAATTTTTGAATTTTAATTTGACATGTTTGATGGAAAATACTTGTTTTCAAGTTCCAGATTTTTTTTCTGGGGGTTGTAATAGAATGCAAACCATCTCTTGATGATCAGAAATGGAAATACTTTTGATAAACAATCTTTAAATAGATTCTTAGATTAAATTATATATATCACTTCAAATAAAATATGAAAGTTTAGGAAATAATGACTGTGATGTAATTCATTGGTCCTTACTGATAACTTTTAATGACCTTCTACAATTTGTATGTTTAATTCAAATGTTATCTTCACATGACGCAAACACTAACTTTGAATGTAAACTTCAAATGATTGCCCAATATTTTTGTAGGGATAAATATTTTTTTAAGTGAAGTTTTTGCAAGTGTCTGACATTTTCTTACATATAAATAGAGAGATAGATAAATTTTATTTCCAATAGAGGACCCATTATGGACAAAATCAGTACATGTACAATGATGAGCACATTAAACATTTACAATATAGATAGTACAAAAGAAAAACAGCTCAAACATGGAATATAAAGATAAAGATAAATTTTTATTTCTAATAGAGGATCAGTACAGTGATTTTGTTTATATTATTAAACAATTGCAATATAGACAATACACAAGAAAAACAACTCAAACATGAAATATAAATTGAGTTAATAATATATATAGCCATATAAACCATAAAGTTTAGTGTTTATTGACCATGCACCAGAAGCAGCATCACATCCATTACAAAAATAGCTTTTATGAGAAGTCCTTCCTCTTGGCTGATGCATATGAACAAATAGTATTGTTGTCCATATGCAGGCGTCATCAAGGGCAGGTGCTTAAAGGACACTCAAACAAATACACACAAATATGAATATTTAAACACTTTACAACACTAAACATAAACTAATACTAAAAAAAGGATTATTATATAGTCCTCCTCGTGGCTAATGCACTTGGACAAGATTATTATGCAGTTATCCAAATGCAGGAGTCACCAAGGGCAGGTGCTTATAGGACATAGTATCATGTTCTGTAAAAATGTTTGTGCAAAAATTATTAGGATTTGGATGCAGCCTCCAACAACTTGTCCCAATGCTCTGAGAAAAAATACACAAAATTTTTCATTATGTTTTATGAAAGCACACATTTCGTACAAGATATCCTTGTTTTCATTACTCATTAACCAAATAAACTGAATATAACATGAGTTTATAATATAACTGTCCAGTGTTCATTGACCATGCGCCAGAAGCAGCATCAAATCGATTATGATATGAGCTTTTATGAGTTAAGTCCTCCTTGTGACTGGTTCAGATGAACAAATATTATAGTTATCAAAATGCAAGAGTCACCAATAATTGTAAAATTTGCGCAAACTGATAGTTAGGTGAGGTTTTCAGACTCAGGTGCAACAAGTTTTTCTTCATTGATAAAGTGTTACACAATAAAAATTTACATAAAACATAATGCATATATTTAAAAGACTGAAGATCAAGTTATGACATGGCTAATGTGTAATTCCTTGCACAACTCCAACCTTTGATTATCTTAGATGGTTGTCACTTCATAATGTTATCTCAAATTTGGCATACTTTGGAATCCTTATTATTCGTGGGATATCAATTTTCGTGGATTTCATTTGTACAGGTTAACAACGAATTCAAATGTTCAATGAAAGTACAAATTTTCTTGAAACTTCTATGCAGACTTAGGCAAAACATGAAAACAAATTTTTTTTTTAGCCATGCAAATAAATGACCATATTTATTATACAAGTCTGTTCTCGTATACAATTGTGGTTTTAAATGACCATATTTATTATACAAGTCTGTTCTCGTATACAGTTGTGGTTTTAAATGACCATATTTATTATACAAGTCTGTTCTCGTATACAGTTGTGGTTTAAGCCAATATGTTCTGTAATAAAAAGAAGTATATTCTCTGTGGACAAAATAGAGAGGTTGAAATGGGAAGAAATTATATAGCCCAATACCTTGTAAACAAAAAAGAAATGTTACTAAATGCCAAGGTTGTTATCACAAAAACTGTTATCCTTGTAGATAGGTCATGGCAACACTCCAATAAGATTTATACAATTATTATGTTGAAATATGTCTGTAAGAATATTGATTGTTGTTACAAAGTATTTATCTAGAGTAGCATGCTGTCTGTAAGTTATCCTTCATTGACAAAGTTCCAAGTTCCTTGGTGTACCAGTCTCTCTTAACTTGGTGTACTCTGTGATGTACCACACTATGTTATGTGGTATCCTGTGTGGTAGTCAATATCCTAACTCAATGTTGTTACATGTTGCTGACTCGTCAACATACTTAGATGCATTGGCTTCTACTAGGTTTTGATAGGCTTGACTTTGAAAAACTTCTCAAGAACAATCAAATTAAGAGGAACCAAACTTGACGTACTTGTTCCCTTTAAGGTCTTGACAAGAGTCATTTTTTTGGTCCCTATCAGATATTCAAAATGACATCAATCATTTTATTTACGATGAAAATGTAAAGGCAAATCAGATTTTTGTCTCACATCAAGATAGTCGAAACAGCAAGACTTAGGTGTACTGTTTCCAGTGGCAGCTGCCTCTAAAGAGTATAAGTTTGTTAAGTTGGACAGTTAACCACTCATCCTGAAAGATTAACTCAGAAGTTTGTTCTACTCTCTGTTACCATTGTGCACATTATATTTGACAACCTTGACTTCAATTACATCAGATGTAAAAATAGCAACACATGGCCATATTAGACAATAAATCAATCAGGTAGTATTTAGTAAAAGGAGGCTGATTCAGTGAGATGCTTTCCCTGCTAATTGTAGATATCAAAATTGATTTGTTTGGGGGTTTTACCAGACCAGTGAGAATTAGGTTATTGGTATTTCTTCAGTATTGACTGCCCTAATTGACATGTCTTTGCTGTACATGATTTGTTCATTGGATTGAAAAAAGTTATGCAATCAGTTCTGTTTAACTATGTTATTTCAACAATATATCATCAGTGTTAACAATAATAATATAATAATAGTAACAAATCAATGAGACAACTGTTTTCAATATGCTGCATTTCTCTTATGTGGATTCATCCTGGTGAGACGGACCTGCAACCTTGGGGGATTTGGCTTGCGAACTGATGTTTCATTTAAAAGGACCTGTGACCTTTAAAAATGTTCAAAACAGAGAATTAGACCAGTTCAGAATCATACAGTTTTCATAAAAGTGACATTGTGACCTAAGTGGGGCATTGTACTGGAGTCCCAATTATGATATAAACCATAACATGGATCAGGTTCTAAAGAAATTTGCCTTAAAATGACTGTTTATGAATGCTATGAATACTTTAATTGTGTCAGCTTATTTTTGTTAATGAATATTTATATAAACACCTGGGGATTTTAAATGCATAGTGAATGTTTCAAACCTTTACTTTCAGTCCTATATCGACAAAGTCTCACTATTAAACTGTGCCCATTTAAACTATTGAATAATTAATAGTTGTCCTACAGTGGATATTCAGTCAATGTAGACAGACTATTGATTAACACTCAAATGGTAAATAAAAGTCAAGGAGAGAGTTAGAGAAAATTGCTTTTAATAAAATGATTGCTGTAAAATTCCATTTCTTGAAAGATTGATTAATTAATAATTTAATGGGTCTGGCATCAAATGATTTTAATACCATCAAGTGAAATTTAGTCTTTGAGACTATGAGAATACATATCAGCAAGTCTATAAAGCCTCCATTAACTGGTGGCTGTGTAAAAGATCAGCAGATCATGTATAGTATGCAGTTTACACTACTCCATTTTACTCATGGTTCAACCTGCATTAGAAAAAATTAGGTTAAATTAAGAAACTGAAAAGAAAAGTGGAGTATAATGTGATGTATTTGCTATATTGATATGTGACATTTTCTGCCGACTGACAAAATCAAAGTAATCTGTTGTTATCAAGTGATAAAGTCCCACCAGTTGCATGATCCAGAATTGCTCCGAAGTCATCATTTTCTTTTTGTGGTTTTGCCAGGTGATCAAAAAGCTATTTGTACCTTTGAAAATATTCCGATTCTCCTGAATCTAGCTGACCTATTCGTACTCTTCAAATTTTGTATCTTGCAGCAATTTTTATACGACCGCAAAAAATTTGCGTTCGACCGCAAAAAATTTGCGTTCGTATAATGCTATCACGTCGTCCTCGTCCGAAGACATTTGGTTTCCAGACAATAACTTTAGTTTAAGTGTATGGATCTCTATGAAATTTAATCAAAAGGTTCAATACCACAAAAGGAAGGTTGGGATTGTTTTTGGGGGTGATGGTCCCAACCGTTTAGGAATTGGGGGCCAAAAAGGGACCCAAAACAAGCATTTTTCTAGTTTCAGGACAATAACTTGTGTACAAGTAATTTGATTGCTCTGAAATTGTACCACAAGGTTCAATACCACAAGTAGAAGGTTGGGATTCATTTTGGGGGTAATTGCCCAAACCGTTCAGGAATTGGGGGCCAAAACAAGCAATTTTCTTGTTTTCAGACAATTACTTGTGTTTAAGTTAATGGATGTCTCTTAAATTGTTCCTAATTTTACAAAAAGAAAATTTCTTCAAATATTTGTTTTTTTTGGGGGGATGGGGGTCACAATTTATTTTGCTAATTCTTTGTATATAGTCTGAAAACAGATTTACTAAGTATTGCGCAACAGCACAGTGTATTGCACAACAGCAAGAAATCTTCAATTAAATATAAATTCAAGTCATATAACCAATTTCAAGTTCTTTGACTACCGGTACATTTATTCTGTGTCAGAAACCTATAATGTGTCAAATATTTAATTACAATCCAAATTCAGACCTGTATCAAGCTTGAATATTGTGTCCATTTTTGCCCCAACTGTTCAGGTTAGGACCTCTGCAGTCGTATCCAGCTGCGCTCGGCGAAGCAGTTTATTCTCATATGGACTGTCTTTAATTTAAGCATATTCTTGTCTGAAGTTCAGTTAAAAGCCAAGGTGGGGTGGCGGTCAAACATGTTTTATCTTTTACAATAATATTGGTTCAAGGTGATATTTTTATATGAGTTTCATTACAAATTATGTTGGAACAACAAATAGAGAATAGACCCTGGTGACCCAAATATAAATTGGTGACACTAATATATTGAGGTTACTCCATATATGTTGTCTAAAAACTGCTATGTAAACAGGAAAATGCTTATACATGTTTTACATACTCAAAACTGTGCCATTTATAAACCATTACACAAATACCCATTACTTATCAGAAAAAGTGAGATAATGAATGCATTTCCACAAGATTAGCGTAAACCTTACCATTTACTTTAAATATCTCTTGTTTGTATTAGATACACCTTGAGGGCATGCGCCCAAATGGGTGTATCTAACTTACACCAAGATATTATTGTCAATGGAGAATGATAGTTTTCAATAATTTAAGAGGGGGTTTTTCAGCGATTTGACCATATGTTATTAAAAGCATGATAAAAGCAGGTATCCAATTTCATTTAAACGACATCTTGGTGTAAACAAATATATTCCTGAGGAAGGAAGATTCTCACATGCAACTTTCAACTCAAACTCATTCCTATACAGTTTGTGACTTGACATGATGATGTGTCACTACAATATATATGTACAAACCAACCAAAGCAAGCTGCAGTATGAACCTTGGCACAGATCTAGTTCAAGATGCACGCTATATTTATCCTTTGTAAGATACTTTTAAGGACGACAGATTTATATTAGTAAATCAACAGTCTTTTTATTTAGAATATGAGTCACTGCTCTGTTGATTGTACTAACATACAGCTGTTTCATGTACATGTATTATTTTGCTTTAAAACTGGTTTGAATGAATTTGTCTGACCTGCAATTTTGAATGAGGGATAACTTGTTTGATATTAAAATATGTTAGTAATGTATAAAGTCAACCAGTAACAGAATGGACTCATTCTTTATTATCCCAATATATACATATATATATAAGGAATACTACTATCTATGATAGGTGTATGTTATGTTTTATTTCTCTGGATATAAATAAGTTAGCATTAATTAATAAAAAAAAGAAATTAATCTTTAAGATTCATTCACTTCAGTATCCAAAAAAAACGTTTTTTTAACTATTTTACATGCTAAAGATGTAAATGACCTTAGCTTGCAGTGCAACACCACAAAATTAAAAATGTTTAAAAGAGTTTTCTAAAACCTTGAAGATTAGTACCTTTTACATATAAAAGTTGATAAAAATATGATTTCTATTCCATACTTCAAATGATATGTGAAGATCACTCAATGAAGTTCAAGTGACTCTGCTTCAGTGAAGGCTGGACAAGCAGTAGAAGTCTGACCCATTGATAAGTTGTATTTTATGTTTGCTTGAATACAGTTTTATTTTCTGATGTATATTTCAATCTTTACAGGTGAAGAAAGCATTTTTTGCCCTTGTATATAATGGTGTGAGGGCAGCACCTCTCTGGGATAGTTCAAAACAAGATTATGTAGGTAAGATGTAACATGATTTAAACAGCAGCTTTCCTACAACAGAGTTATATAAGTTATGATGGGAGTTATTATTGAGCATTAAAGGATAAAGAAAAAAATACTCATTACTGAAATAACATGTGTTCATAAATTTATTAAAGACTGGGTAGGAAGATTCTTTAAACTTTTAAGACAAGAAATCAGTGTCCTGATTAGTTGAGTTATTAAGGTTGTATTCTAAATGTCATTGGGTTGTTATTTCATTGGCATTTCCCATACATTTCCTTTTTTTGCTCCTTGAAAAAAATCTGGGAGCATATAAAAATCAGTGTCCAAGACAAATGATTTTCAGATGATAACTTGCTGGATTAAAATGAAAATAATACAGATGGAAGATAGAGATATGGGGATGAAGCCTATTAACTTTGGGAGTTAACAGGTCAAAGGTCAAGGTCACTGTTTCTGAAAATAAAGGGAAAAACAGTTTTAAAGTTGGTTTCAGGGATGCTATCCTACTATGACTTTGTAACACATTCTATACATGAAAATTAGCAATAAATCTACATGTTTATTTGTTCTTTTCAACCATACTATTATTTTGAACCCTTGAAATAAAAATGTTTATCCCAATAGATATGCAGCTTGATGAGCATCAGATGGAAATTTGAGGTGCCTTCACTTTTGTTCTTAGATACATATACTAGTCGTAATAAATGTAATAAATATCTTGTACATAATGAATGTAACACTTTTGGGAAGGGAATTTGTTATGCTTATACTTGCATAACTTCTAGTCCCACTTCCCACTGCTGTTATGGTGCATTTTCTTTACAGTAAGTTTACATGTAAAACTAACTTTTGATTATACTTATTTGTACATTGTATGTATTATATATATCTTATGTCAATCTTTGAATAATGCTTTGGGCGTTTTCTTGTTAATTAAATATAAAAACATCAATTTCATCTATTTTATTCTATGTTTTCCTTTTCACTACAGAATATACAAATCACATTCATTTGGTTCTGAGACATAACTTGAGACATAACTTTATATTGTTTTTATCAGTTTGATGTTGATCTCTTGGCCAAAAGTATGTTGTGCTTGTCCGACTAACTATAGTTCATTGTGTTTTCTTTAACTGCTGGGCTAATTTAAACCAAAGATGGCAGGAATAATGTTCTGAAGGTACATTTTACAAGACTTCTCTATTGCTATTTGATCTATTGGAATTTCTGCTCTGATTTGATCTATTGGAATTTCTGTTCTGTTACTTAATCAGATTATTTAGGCTTGTGTGGCCTTGAATGAAGACTTTAGTATATTTGAAAAAAAGCTAAGACATGAAGACAGAATTTGATACATATTGCTAGTCTAATAAATGTAATAAATATCTTGTACATAATGAATGTGACACTTTTGGGAAGGGAATTTGTTATGCTTATACTTGCATTACTTCTAGTCCCACTTCCAACTGCTGTTCTTAGTCATTTTTTTTGCATTAAGTTTACATGTTAACTTTTGATTATACTTAATCAGAATGTTTAAGCTTATGTGGCCTTGAAGGAAGACTTTTAAGTATATTTGAAAAAAAGCTTATGCATGAAGACAAAATTTGATGCCAACTTCATGAGGGAGATTTATGCCAAATCTTTGCATAGAACATTATGTTCAGACATAAAGCATAAAAACTGCTACAACTTGTGCATTAATTTAATGTATTATCACCCAAATATAGTCTTTTGGGATTTCAGGGGTACAAGTCCACAATACAAACTCACCATAAATCTTGGTACAAAGCATCTAAGTCTAGATTGGGCTTGCAGAGTCATTTAAATCTGTATCAGGATAAGGATTTACCATCTAATTATATCAAGGAAGTGGATGCTGAGAATGAGAAACATAACCTTCATCTATAGATATTAAATTGTTTTCTGGTCACATTAAAAATATCATTTATTGATTTTTACCTGAATTAGGTCATGTACCTCCAGTTTAATATCATGTCACATTTCATTACCATGACAACAAAATTTGTACTTAAGTTCTGTAGATAATCTAACAGATTTTGTGTTTGTTTATAGAAAGTTTAACTGAATTTTATATAGGCAGTAATTGATTTTTCATGAAGTATCTCTCACATGTCTGTTTTTTATACGACTGCAAAAAAATTGTGCGTTCGTATATTGGTATGACGTTGGCGGCGGCGTCGTCGTCCAAAGACACATTGGTTTTCGCACTCTAACTTTAGTTTAAGTGAATGGATCTCTATGAAATTTTACCATAAAGTTCAATACCACAAAAGGAAGGTTGGGATTGATTTTATGGGTTATGGTACCAACAGTAAAGGAATTAGGGGCCAAAAATAAGCATTTTTGTAACTTCCAGACATAACTTGTGTGTTAGTGTATGGATCTCTCTGACATTGTACCACAAGGTTCCATATCACAAACGGAATGCTGGGATTGATTTTGGGGGTAATTGCCTCAAAATTTTAGGAATGAGGGGCCAAAAAAGGGGCAAAAAACAAGCATTTTTCTAGTTTCATGACAATAACTTGTGTGTAAGTGTATGGATCATTCTAAAATTGTACTACAAGGTTCCATGTCACAAAGGGAAAGCTGGAATTGAGTTTGTGGGTAATTGCTCAAAATGTTTAGGAATAAGGGGCCAAAAATAAGCATTATTCTAGTTTCCAGACAATAACTTGTGTTCAAGTGTATGGATCTCTCTGAAATTGTACTGCAAGGTACCATACCACAAAGGGAAGGCTGGGATTGATTTTGGGGGTAATTGCCTCAAAATTGTAGGAATAAGGGTCCAAAAAGGGGCAAAAAACAAGCATTTTTCTAGTTTCAGGACAATAACTTGTGTGTAAGTGTATGGATCTTTCTGAAATTGTACTACAAGGTTCCATATCACAAAGAGAAGCTGGGTTTGAGTTTGGGGGTAATTGCCATATATGTTTAGGAATTTGGGGCCAACAGGGGCCAAAAAAACAAGCATTTTTCTAGTTTCCAGACAATAACTTGTGTTCAAGTGTATGGATCTCTCTGAAATTGTACTGCAAGGTACCATACCACAAAGGGAAGGCTGGGATTGAGTTTGGGGGTGATGAATCATAAGGGAGTTCAAAAAAATTGGGGGGATTTTTTTTTTCCTTTTTGTTCTTTAAAATTTTCCATTTTGAATTGGTTATTTCTGATTTATATATAAAAGCAAATAATAATGATATGGTTTGAATAGGTAAATTAAAAAATTTTAAGTTCTTAGACCACATTCATTCTGTGTCAGAAACCTATGCTGTGTCAAATATTTAATCACAATCCAAATTCAGTGCTGTATCAAGCTTGAATGTTGTGTCCATAATTGCCCCAACTGTTCAGGGTTCGACCTCTGCGTTCGTATCAAGCTGCGCCCAGCGGAGAATTTTATTTTAATATAGTTTTCAATAGATCAAACACCTAAATATTACATTTCACATCCTTAAAAGCCTAGGCAGTTTTATGGCTTGTTAAAATGATATATTTTTTGTATATATTATTTTCATAAATCAGGCCGTGGTTTTCTTGTTTGGATTGTTTCACATTTTGTCATGATTAGGTCCTTTATAGCTGACTATATAGTACGGGCTTGACTCATTGTTAAATGGTGACCTATAGTTGTCTATGTCAGTTAGTCTGTGCATGATAGTTGTCTCATTGGCAATCATACCACTTTTTATTTTTATAAGCTAACTTTTAGACTTTACATTCATAGTTGAGTACAGATTTGATACGCAGGTCACATGATAAAGAGATTTATTGTGATAATGTTATGTAATGACTGCCCTAAAGCAAGTTCTAAGTCTAAAAAATGCTTAGCTCATCATTGCATATGACCTAAATAGTTTACTTAATGCAGTCGTAGATAAAAAAAATCCCCTAAATGGATACACAATGCACTTTCATGTTTAATTCCTGCAGAATAGGTGAGATTTCAGCTGCGACTTTAATCTATTTCACAAGAGAAATGGATCATCAGGAGGTTGGAAATAATTTAAAGTTAAGTCTAGTGGTTCTTGTAAGGCTTCCAGTGAAACAAAACTAAAACTAAACATTCTAAGACCAGACATTGCTGTGTAATTGTAAAGTATTTGTCATACTGCTGGATAAAAGAATTAAGGTGGTTATTGGTTATTATTTGTCTGTATCTTTAGGATAAAATTGTTCTCAGCTGCTGGATAAAAGAATTAAGGTGGTTATTGGTCATTATTTGTCTGTATCTTTAGGATAAACTTGTTCTCAGCATTTAGCCCTGGTTGGACTATGGACTGATAAGAATCATTTCTTATTAGACCAAATATTTTTAGATAAGCCAGACATTACACAAGATTTTATATTGTCTATACTTATTTAAGCCCAGAATGGTATATTTATTACGTAATTTTACCAGACTTATAGATTCTTATTAGTTCATACTTGACTTCTTTGTATTTGATACCAAACAAATGTCTGTTTTATAAAGAGATTTGTGTTTTATTTCAGGCATGTTGACAATAACAGACTTTATATTGATTTTACATAAATACTACAAATCACCTTTAGTAAGTATTAAGAAATCAGTAGACATACATTGTATATGCATTAAAATATAAGTTATTCTTCTATATTACATTTTGTGTTCTAAAAATGGAGATGTGGTACAAGTGCCAATGAGAACTATCCAACAGAGTCCAAATGACATGTATGTAAGCAACTAATTGTCACCTTTGGCCTTCAACAATGAACTTTTTTTAATGGATTTTTTGGTCACTGTAAAAATCTAATCTATGAAAGCACTTGTGCGATTTTTTGTTTTGCCTGAGCTGAAAGTCGCAGAATGTGAGACATACGGATTACAATCAATGGACAGCTTAACCTATTTGTATAAAGCTTTATATTTCAGAAGGTAGAAGTCCTGGATGCGCAGATACCTTATGTTACTAAGTGTCTGTCTGTCATATGTCAATTGTCCTTGACCTCATTTTCATGGTTCAGTGACTGCTTAAAAAAACAAAGTGTTTTTGTTAAGTGAAATACTCACTACTCACAAAGATATATGATAACTATATTTGGTATATAGGTTCCATGCATTGTCTACATGTCCTTCAGGTAGGGTTCATCTGACCTTGACCTCATTTCATGGATCAGTGATCAAGATTAAAGTTATGTAGTCAAGTGTGTACCTCAGATACTATAAGCACTAGGTCAACTTTATTTGGTGTATGGAATGATCGTAGGGTATACATGTCCAACTGGCATGTTTCATCTGACTTTGACCTCCATTTCATGGTTCATTGGACAATGTTTAGTTTTTTGTGGTTTGATCTATTTCTCAGATACTATAAGCTATAGGAAATAAGGATTACTATATTTGGTGTATGGAATGATTGTAAGGTGTACATGTTTGTCTGGCAGGGTTCATATGACCTTGACCTCATATTCATGGTTCATTGGTCAATGAAAAGTTTTTTTTTTGTCAGTTTATCAGATACTATAAGCAATAGGTCAACTTTATTTGGTGTATGGAATGATTATAAGGTGTACATGTCTGTTTAGCACAGTTCATATGACCTTAACCTAATTTTTATGGTTCATTGGTCAATATTAAGATTTTGTGGTTTGATCTGTTTCTCAGGTTCTATCAGCAATAAGATCACTATATTTGTTGCATGGAAGGATTGTGAGGTGTACATGTCTGTCTGGCAAGGCTCATCTGACTGAGACCTAATTTTTATACAACATTGAGAATTTTAAGTTTATGTGATACTTGTAGTAAAACATTCATATTACAGACTTTCAACATAAATTCAATCATAAGTAAAAAGCTGACGAGACATTTCAGTGTGTGCACTCTTGTTTTAATTTGCATTTATTGTTATAAAGAAATGCACTGCAAAATAACTGTCTGTTCTAGGACCTACTGGTTGGTCTTATAGCAGAACTCATGAACATGCTTAATCCCACCACTTTATGTGCCTGTTCTTAGCCAGAAACTTGTAATCCAGCAGTTGACCTTGGTTACTGTCTGCTATAATTATGGCACCCTCAACAGAGTTGGGGTGACATATTGTTATTCTACGTTTCTTTTTTTCTTATTTTTCTTCCACTTGTTTTGTCCAGCTTATATCTCGGAATTGTATGAACCAATGTTAATGGAACTTAACCATAATGTTAACCAGCATGTGCAGATTTGCAATCGGGATATGGCATTTCCAAGATGGCCGCCATTTCCATGGAAACAGCAAAAATGTCCAAAAAATCAATATGCTCCAAAGTTAATGAAACTTCACACAAATATTGACTGGCATATGCAGATATCCCATTTGACTTTGGAATTTCAAAAATGGCTGTCGTTACCATGGAAACAGCAAAAATGTCAAAAATTTCAAAATGCTCTAAACTCCATGAAACTTTACAATAGTGTTAATTGGCATGTGTAGATGCCCTCTTTGACTTTGGAATTTTCAAAATGGCTGCCGTTACCCTGGCAATGGGGGAACGAGGGTGCCATCCGTTATTGCTAGCAATTACAAATCAGGTTGGTTTTTTTGTACTTAAGTATGAATAAGGCAGTTGATTTTGTCTTGTTTCATATTTTGTCAGGCCTTTAATAGCTTAAAAAACAGTATGAGAATGATCTTAGATGGATAGCTGTCTCATGTTATGCTTGGGGTAAAGATTGCAAATCCAGGGGAGGGGGACATTGGTGCTCTGGAAGAGTAAGCAATTCCTGTTCTACTAGTGGCAACCATCTTGTAATTCATTGCAAGTAAATATTCCTTGATAAAGTCAGATAATATGATCATTATAAAGGAAAGAGGACAGGATTGTGGCTACAACAAGTGAAACATATATTGCACTTAAGATCCTCCTAAGTCTGATCAAATAATGTTCTAACGTAAAACCAAAATTAACTGTCAAAATGCAAAAACAATTGTACTTGTATTCTATGATTTCTTGTTTCTCTTTCAGACCCTCTTATATTTAGAAATATGATGAGATAAAGGTATGTCTCCTTTAATGTAAAATATTTTATATTATAGGTAAAAATGGATGAATTAGAAGAACACAAAATTGCTACCTGGCGAGGTAAGATACAATATCTACTCTGGGTTTATATATATATCTAAGATGTGTTTAACTTTATGCAGGAAGGGAGAATGCAATACTTGACTATTTATTAACCTTTTCTATTGAAACACAGTTCAGGGAATAAAATATAATGGTTTAACATATCAGTTTTGGATCTCAAATATGTATATAAAAAAAAACCACTGGGAACATCTTAAAATAACTTTCTTGGAAGTACAAATATATGTGTATAAGATAGCATGTCTATATGACATTATTGTGTGTATCATGATGCTATTTATAAATGTATTTACTGTAAACCCACATATTTTGGCAGTTATTTTATTTCTCTTTTAGCCATTTCTAGCCGACTTTGGGGCGATTTATTTATACAATTTTATAATTTTCTAAATGTATTTATATAAGGGAAGATGAAAGTTTTACATATTTGCAAGAATTTATATTCATGTTATTTTTGTACCCAGGAAAAAAAAATAGTTTACAAAAATAAGTTGCTTTACATTATTTTGCTTACTTGGCCTTTCTATACCAACAAAAAAGACCAGTTTTTAACTTCAATGTGTCTTACAAGTATAATAAGGAATACTCAATGTGTCTTACAAGTATATTAAGGAATACTCAATGTGTCTTACAAGTATATTAAGGAATACTCAATGTGTCTTACAAGTATATTAAGGAATACTCAATGTGTCTTACAAGTATAATAAGGAATACTCAATGTGTCTTACAAGTATAATAAGGAATAGTCAATGTGTCTTACAAGTATAATAAGGAATACTCAATGTGTCTTACAAGTATAATAAGGAATAGTCAATGTGTCTTACAAGTATAATAAGGAATACTCGATGTGTCTTACAAGTATAATAAGGAATACTCAATGTGTCTTACAAGTATAATAAGGAATAGTCAATGTGTCTTACAAGTATAATAAGGAATACAATGGTTTTATCATTGTGCATTGTGAAAGATTGACATTTTAATTTTTTTTAGAAATATTATATAACAGTATCATATGCAAAGGAATTACATCGATTAATTGAATTCACATAATTTAGGAGAAGTTGCCTGAATGCACAATTTAAATTTTGAATTGCTGTATGAATTACACCATGTACACTGACAGGAATGTGTGTTCCCTGATGTATTTCACATGTAATCATACATGTATTTGATTCTGTTTTCAGAGGCCCTATCAGAGAAAATCAAACCATTTGTATATATAGAACCAGATGCTAGCTTATATGATGCAGTGAAAACGTTGATAAGTAATCATGTACATAGACTGCCTGTGATAGACCGGGTGACTGGCAATGCCCTGTATATACTGACACATAAACGCATTCTTAGATTTTTATACTTATGTGTAAGTATAAATGTATGCTATTGAATCATACTGGTCATTGTTAATATTTTGGTTATAATTCAGTTTACAACCCTACATGATTATGATAGGGGTTATTGATAGACTCTTTATTAGTGACTAAAAAATTTAGAATTGCAAATTCTTAACATTGTTTACATCTAATGACATAATATTCTATGTCAATTTGTACAGATTTGGCAAAGACCTATGCTTTGTGCTTGCCATGTTTATACTAAGGAGGTTCTTATGATTGCAAATTCAAGTGTTTTTAAGTTTTGCTTGATTGTTTCTGTGTTTTTCATTGTTTTTTTTTTTTATTATTATATTTTGTGTCATTGCTAGAAGATTAGAAACCAAAACATTAAAGCAAACAACTAAAATTGACAGTATAGTCAGAACTAATATAATATCAGATTCTGATTGAATGTAATCTGAGTGGTGAAGGAATCCTCCACATTGTTATAATAGTATATAGTTAATGCTGGTCTGTCTGTATTGGCAGGGCTATCAATTATTTTCTGAAATTGTCAATTAATATTACAAAAATAAGTTTAATCATTTTAAAAATATTTGCAATACTACCTTTCTATTGTTTAAGTTTATTATGTATTTTGTAGATAAATGAATTACCAAAACCAGGTTTTATGCACCAAACATTAGATGAGCTTAATATAGGAACATTTCAGAATGTTGTAACAGTAAGTTTATTGATTTTACTACTCTTGTATAGTAGATAACTGTAGTATTTAGATACAAACTTCTTGGTATGATAAAACAGCAAATGGATTTTTAACCGGATTTTCGAAGGAAAAATGGGTTATTTATTTTGGGATGTACGGCGGGCGGGCGGCTGCCAAACCGTGTCCATTCATTTACATGAAAATGCTTTGACGAAATTTTTTCAAATTTAGATATGTTGTTTCCTGTGACTAAATGAAGGTCAAGTTCAATTTTCTAGATTTTAGCTTTTCTCGTTGAGTTTAAGACCTTTCAGTAGCCAATAGTGATATTTATTATATGATTGAGTTATTTCCCTTTGAACAGAAATGGTGTAATTAAAAAGTTTATGTATAGATAGTCTATCAATGATTGTATCTGTTCAATTGATTTTAGTCGGGAGCTGTCAAAATCTTCTTTATAACTATTTTTTTTTTTAGTCATGTGTGTTTTGAAGGTAGATGTCACAGTTGTTATGTGGTATTTTATTTTTGTTGTGTGTGTTAATGTTTAATTTTTACTTGATCCTGTTTGGGGGTCCAGATTTGCAAATATCATTTTCATTAGATAATAATTATTTTTATTAAAGGATAAATTTCATTGCATTACATTGTGTAGATAAAGTTGTTGACATTGATAGATAAGTTGCAGATCTATATTAGTTAGTGACAAATGAAAGAAAAAATATTGGGAACTATTAATTATATATATAAAGTTTGATTACACTAAGTGTTTTTAAATGATTTTCACCTGTTATCAGATAAGAAAGCATGTGGTAAATATCAATCACACAATTATAATTGGAGTGACAGATTTATTTGAAAATTTTCTGTTTCATAAGTGTTGATGATGATAAGCTCTGTAGGACGGTATAAATATAGTTTGAAATTTACTGTTCATTATAAGACATTTTGATGATAATTACAGATGAGTTTTATAGATTTTTAAAAGACATTGTATTAATGATAAATGACAATTTGGATTTTTTTTTCTTTTCTTTGGTAAATTGTTTGAAGAATTTTGTGGTAGGTTTGTTTGTTATTCTGTATAGACTAATTTTCTGAATGCTATATATATTTATATTTTTTTTTTTTTTTGATGAAGCAAACTCTAAAAACTAAGCTTATATTGTCGATTAACAAACATATATTTAGATTTCTGATTTTGAGCCTGGTTTACAAAATGGTCCAAATAGGGGTCTAAAATTAAACTGTGTTTGATTTCAACATAAATTGAATATATATAGGGTTCTTTGAAATGTTGAATCTAGACCTGTATTTATTTGCATTATTAATTTAGATAATACCACATTAAGGTCCAAAGGGTCCTAAATTAAACTTTTGTTTGATTTCATCAAAAATTTAATTTTTGGGGTTCTTTGATATGCTGATTCTAACAATGAACTTAGATTTTGGATATTGGACCATAATAGGTAAATGTCCGATTTCAAATATTTCAGTTCTTTGACCACATTCATTTTGTGTCACAAACCTATGCTGTGTCAAATATTCAATCACAATCCAAATTCAGAGCTGTTTTAAGCTTAAATGTTGTGTCCATACTTGCTCAACTGTTCAGGGTTCAACCTCTGCAGGTAATTCCGGTTTGCTGTCACTCTGACAGCCTCTTGTTAAAAAGTTCCTTTGAAAAGTTTATATTGGCAGTTTTTCAGCCAAGTACACTAATGAGTGCTGATCAAATTTTTTTAACAACCATAGAAATATAAAATGTGTGAAAAATTATATCGACTAGTTATGTTATAACAGGTCCTTCCATGTTCTACTTTCTGTTTACCAAAATTATATCAAAATAGTTTCATCAACATCATTGAGCTTTTGTGCCTACATTTCTTGATTGATATTAATAAAAAAAATTATAATTTTTACTGGTTGTGGTCCATAGAAATACAAATTACAAGCAAAATTGACTTGTGAAAACTCTTACTAATTTGTTTCCTTAATTAGTCCCCTACCGATGAGGTAAAAGGGCACTTTAAGTTTGCACTTCGTCAGTTTCTACACTTTTTTTCTTCATGCTTGAAGATATTGATTTGACATTTGGTGTATTGTTTTATCATGACAAGTTACAGATCTAGTTCAAAGTTTGTTCCGGTCTGATGATTTTGTGCAGAGGTATGGTCCTTGGACTTAAAAAATTCACACAAATAATCAGTTTTCCTCACTTTTTTTCATCATGCTTGAAGATATTGATTTAATAATTGATTTATAGTTTTATCATAACAAGTTACAGATCAAGTTCGAATTTTGTTACGGTCTTATGATTTTGTGCAGAGTTATTGTCCTTTGACTTAGAAAATTCACTTAGATAATCAGTTTTCCACACTTTTTTTGGTCATTCTTGAAGATATTGACTTGATATTTGTTATATTTGTTATAGATCAAGTTAGCATTTAGTTTTAGTACAATGAATTTTTAACCGGTAGGGGACTATGTATTGCCATGCAATACTCTCAGAATGCTTGTTATATATACTGCAGTAAGGACATTGGAAGACTGTTCGTTGTTGAGCCTGCCACATTTTGTTGTGGAAGTGAGAAATAGCAATCCCACATATTGTCTTTGGCGGCACCAACATGTAGGTTGTCTGGTTATATTTTTTTTTTTGACATACATAATTTTTTTAATATCAAATCGTCATAGAATTTAATGGAACTTCGACAGGTGCTTTTTTAGGATCAAAAGAGAGCATCCGCCATAGCGGAGGGGGCATTAAGTTTTGCCCATGTCCTCAAACAGATCAAGTTTGAATTTTGGTGGCGTCCCTTTAATTTTTTTCCTGTTCTCTAATTTAAGATTGCCTCAAGTACAAATTTGGGAGCTTCACTTTTACCGTTCTTGAGTTATGTCCCTTTATAATATTATATGCAAGTTGGGGCATCATCTGTGTCTCGTGGACACATTCCGCATTTATTTTTTTTGGCAGTCACATTATGCACTATTAGGGGCCTTGGTGGCCAAGTGGTGTAAGTAGTTGAACTACCGTTCCTACTCGCTTATTAGTCGGAAAATTGGGAGTAAAATTCATAATCCAGAGAGGGGGACCGACTAATAGACAAGATCTAGCGACCAGAGGAAAAATCCAAGCTTGAGAAAAGTGGTCAGGAGTGAATTTCCTGGTCAAAACTACGTTTTTGATTGCCAAACCTACATAAATCAATAAAAAAAAAGTTTTTGTTGAAAATAAATGACTACAATACTGTCTTTGTGTTTTATTTGTTCTTTGGTAAACATTTTCTGCAAATTCGTGTTGAAATTCTACTGTTTCCGGTTTGTGTATTGATTTTCATGGTCACATGGTTTTCCTATAAACCCAAAAGAAGAGCCAAGAACCAAAAATGAAAAGGAGATAACAATGTACCAAATATGTGAAAGGATGTTTTCAGCGGAGTTATTGTGTCATTATTGTGATATCATGATATCAATTCAATGCTTATAAATCATATAATAATCAAAAAATAATTTTAGGATTCATTCCCAAAATCAAAATATTATTCATTAAAGTGTCTCAGGTAAACAAAAATTACAAAATTGATTGACAAGCCAATATAATCCATTGATAACCCCAATTAAGAGACAAAGAGTTGTATTTACTAAAGGTGTGAAAGCTATCAGTGATAGGTAAACAGATGACACTAATGAGTTGGAGTTAGTTATTTTAATATATTGATAAGCTTCACTTAATTTTTTTAATCCTTTAATCATCACAATATAATAAGAATTATGAAGTGTACATGCTCATTTATCACCGAGTTATGTATGCTGTGAAAAATATTTTCATCAAGTGTTGATTGACTTTAAATTTTTCAGGTTCATATTGGTTTATATTCGCTTTTCTCAAACAATAGGTTGTTAGTCATACCCTACAAAATCATTGATGCATTACGTAAACAACACATGGCTAATCAAACATTTGAACAGTGAACAAAACAAGAGAAATGAATACATCTTTATTATTAACAGCGATATAAATTATCATGATGAGCATCAACTAAATTCAAACCAAACAAACATTAATGCAGAAATGAATATTATTCCTGGATTTGCATTGGTTTTACCGGCGTTCAGTTACTGTCAGCTGAAAAAAAAATTGCCCAAATTTTGCCCGACTTATACGAGGGTCAAGACTAAATCCTTAGAATTTGGAGCTGAAAAGGGCACCCGACTTATAGTAGGATCGACTATTAGGCGAGTTTCTACGGTACTGTAACACTAGCCTGTCAACACTGAAGTTGCGAGTTAGAATCCCACAAGTGTCAGTTGCGCTTGACTCCAATCTTAATTGATTAGGATTGTCAGTTTTCCTACTGAAGGTTGGTGGTTCTCCCTGGGCACTTCGGCTTCCTCCACCAATAAAAACTGATCGCCATGAAATAGCACAATAGTGTTGAAAGTGGTTTTAAACACAAATGAATCAATCAATTATACACTTTTACTGACAGCAGCAACGTCAGGCAAAACAAATGGTTGCAAGGAACCCTTTACAAAGTTTTTTTTTTTATTATTTGAGCTGTTCTTGTCTAGTTCAGACATATGTTAAGTTTAGTTCTAGCTATAACTTGTGATAGTAGTTATGAAAGAATTACAGATCAGTTTTGATTTTCTTTTAGGCCAAAACTTCAACACCTGTGATAGAAGCATTAAATATGTTCGTAAACCACAGAATATCAGCTGTCCCTGTAGTAGATGACCAAGGAAAAGTTGTTAATATTTATGCAAAGTTTGATGTTATTGTAAGTTTTCATGATATATTGGATAGTTATGTTTAAGTTATGACCAGTATCATAAATAAAATGACTATTGTTTACTGAATTTAATCAGAGACAAGAAATATAAAATTGTCTAGAGAACTTTAAGTCTACTGGAGTGAGATATAAGTAAGATAGAAAATGAATTAGCAGCAAAATAAGTATAGTTTTATCATTATGGAGTTATCCCTTCAACAAAAAGAAATTCTTAAGAGTTGAATTCTGAATATTTCTTCTTTCAAATAAATACATATTGTTACAAAATTGTGCTTACATTTTCCATCAAGAAGTTTTATGATGTGCATCTAGATCATATGGAAGAAGTGAGTGTTTATTGCCAAACTTTTGGTTTATGTCAGCAACCATACCTCGTGTTGCATGTCTGCAGAAAATGATAAAATATGATTCTAACTATGTAAATATTTTCATTGTTTATATTTTACACAAAAGTTCTAGTATCATTATCAATATTGATAATTGACACAAATATCTGAATATCACTATTGATATTTGACACCTTAACCATCACTATTGATATTCAACACTTTAACCACCTCTATTGATATTTTACATGTAACAATCTCTATTGATATTTTACATGTAAATTTTAAATCTCATCACTATTAATATCAGAAACAAACAAAAAAACATTCTCTTTTGATATTGGACTAGACAATCTATGCTTGTTGTGAACATTTTATGTGTAAATCTTGTCACTGTTGATATTTGTCAAATAAATACTATGATTAAAGAATTAATTTGTTTTGATTTCAGAATTTAGCAGCAGAGAAAACCTACAATAATTTAGATATTACCATAGACCAAGCTTTAAAGCACAGACATAAAGTAAGTGGTTTAATTTTTACATCGCTTTGACCGTGAGAGCATTCCGATGTATTGTTGCCACATAGATTTCTACTTACGTAAATTTCGTTTTTGACTGGTAACCGATCTATAAATACACGGACATTATCGAGTGCAACATTCCTTATCACTTGTTATAAATTCATTTCTTCAATGAATACCCATAAAAATATATTTTTAGTCCCCTACCGACGAAGTCGAAGGGGACTTTAGGTTTGCACTCCGTCTGTCCGTCTGTCCGTCTGTCTGTCTGTCTGTCTGTCCATCTGTCAGTCCGGCAAATCAGTTTTCCAGACTTTTTTTCTTCGTGCTTGAAGATATTTATTTGATATTTGGTTTATTGATTTATCATGACAAGTTATAGGTCAAGTTCAATTTTCACGATTTTAGCTTTTCTCTTTGTTCAGTTAAAGCCCTTTCCCTAGAATTAAATTTTTGATGAAATACTTATTAATTAGTAGATTTCTGTTCAAAGGGAAATAACTCATTTTTTAAAAGACTTTTAAAAGACAAAATGACATTTTGGAATTTTTTCCTTTTCTTTGGTAAATTGTTTGAAGAATTTAATGGAAGGTTTGTTTGTCATTCTTGAAGATATTGATTTGATAATTGGTATATAGTTTTATCATGACAAGTTACAGATCAAGTTGGAATTTTGTTCCAGTCTGATAATTTTGTGCAGAGTTATGGTCTTTGGACATAGAAAATTCACTTAAATAATCAGTTTTCAACAGTTTTTTTCGTCATGCTTGAAAATTTTGACTTGATATTTTTATGTAGTTTACACCATGACAAGTTATAGATCAAGTTAGAATTTCATTCCATTACAATGAATTTGTAACCGGTAGGGGACTATGTATTGCCATGCAATACTCACAGAATGCTTGTTTAGAACATAAATTAATGATATGAAACTGTTTTGTCGTTAGAAATATATATATATATAAGTAAAAAATAATTAATATCTATGCAAAGTACAGAAAAAGAACTTGCAGTCATCCGATGTTCAGTACTTTGATTTATATCCCTGCTTCAAAGCAGGGGAGTATTTTGGATTGCCACTGAACTGCCATTAGTATCGTGGTAATCATGGTAGCGTGCTTGCCTCAAGTGTTGGAGATAATGGGTGGGTTTGATTCCTAACTGGGTCAAACAAAAGATTTGAAAATTGGTATATAACAAATATGGCATTGTTAGAAGATGTGACATATTCTGTCATTGGAATGCAGTTCTGCTTGCTTTGGTTTCTCTTGTTCTTCTCTGGAAGTAGCAGACATATATAGTTGTTCTTGATAAATATACCAGTCTAAAGAAAGTCATAAGATATTAATGTTGAACTACAGTGGACAACAAAATCATTAAACTGTGTCAGTGTAATTATCTCTTATGTTGCACTTTATTTTACCAGTGTTCCGTTGGTAGATTAATTTGGACTTTTATATGTTACAATTTATTCAAATTTGAATGACTTTTATGATGAGATTTTTGTGGTGTTTTGACAATGTAATATTGAAGGCATTTCCTTGTTAACATGAAACTGGTGACGAAAAAATGATGTATTGCATGTCCTCAGAAATTCTATCACAAAAGTAGGATTTTTTTTCTCATTTCTGGCATATCAACATGAAGGAGCAAAAGTTATTATATTTGGATACTTACATGTTTGTGGTATTTTCAATTTGTAGATATGACATTAAAAGGCAAATTATTTAATCAAATTGTTGGGAGGGCAGCCCCAGCTGTTTCTATTCAATAACTTAACGATTCAACAAATGCTTTCCAAATTTGAATATGCTGTAAAAAATGTAAGTTGAATTAGTATAACAATTGCACAAAACATGAAAGCAAACAACTAAAACCAGACATTTCAGATGCAACAATAACAATATGACACTGTTCAGTTTTGATATGAACCTTAGCTAAGTGATGAGAAGAATCCTCTACATTATTGCTCCTTTAGGATGTGTGTACCTCCTTTAGGATTTGTGTAGCAATAATCAGGAGGGCCAAAGTCACAAACCTAGTATAAAATATATGAATTAATTACACAACAGGTTTGTCAGATTGTATATTAATTTCTACAATGAATTTTTCAGGAGAGTTGGTTTGAAGGTGTGGTAAACTGTCTGGTGACTGATAAGTTAGAAGATGTCATTGTAAAATTAGTACAAGCTGAGGTAATTTGATAAAATACTAAAAATATACTTCCTTTGAATAAAAGAGAATAGCTATTTTTTTATTCAGGAAATGAATGAATTATATCTGACAAAGCTAATTGATCACTGTTACTCTAGATAAAATATATTAAAAAACATCAATATTGAATGTTTTTCTGTACAAATACAGATAAAAAGGAACCAAATGATATTGTGTGATATGGCCCTTTGTCAGTTTTTTTACTGAAATTTGAACTGATTTAAAATTCCTGTTTATATAAAAATAAGAAGGTGTGGTATGAATGCCAACAAGACAACTATATCCATTTACATGGGGATTATTTGGTATGCCCCTCAATCATAGTCCATTCCTAGTTTATAAAAAAATGTTGCCATTCAATTTCAACTTTGCATTATACTATCAAAATTGCATACAGTCCAAACATTTATCTGCATCAACAGTTTATTTGTAGAAACGTTGGAATAATGCTATCTTTTAACCATAAGATCTCTTTGAACATTCATGTTTCAAAGACTTGGCACATGCTTATCAACTATCTTTATGCAAATATCAACTGATTTCACAATGCTAAAATTTTAACCCCAAAACAGCCTTTATGTACCCCCTTTGTTTGAACAGTCATATGATGTTTCCCTTGGAGTAAAGGTTCGATGACCCTTCTGTTCAGTCAAAAGACTGGTTAAGAAGATAAGTCAACAGACTTTCAGATATACATATAATGACACAAGCATGGCAATCATAATTGCTTCGTACCCTTCTAAAAGTCTTGTCTTGGCTATTCTTGGAAAAATACATCTAATAAATTTTCAAGAGAAAAAGAGGAATTTATAGATAACACACATCTCATTATAGAGTAAAATCACAATGTGATAATCTGATGATATTATCTGAGAGGGACATTTTTGGTTATGAATGAAAATATGGAATAATAATGGTCTAAGGGGAGTAACTGTAATTGTAAGCTTTTAGTTTTCATTGTACCAGATTTGATATTACTTGTGTGCAAGATTATTGTAAAGAGTTAGTAGTATGATTACAACACTGTCAACTTACCTGTTGGCTGTCAAACTGTTCCATGACATATGTACTAACTTAACCAAACTTGTGAAATTGTATAATGATATGCTATTTCTCAACCAAAATTTGGAACATATATCCAAGAATCTTGGCATTAGCTATTTTATTTCCTGATATTTTCTTTTTTCTTTAAACATATTGACTTTTAGAGGAATTCTTTTAGTAAGGTCATAAATGTTCCAACATAATTTAAAATATATATTAATCCTTTTTTTTTTTTAAATCAGAAATATATAGTTGATTGTACATGTAGTGGTAATGATACTGAGATATTTATTCTCTCTTATTCTTATTCCAGGTTCATCGCTTGGTAATAGTTGATGTTGAAACACATGTAAAGGGCATTGTATCACTGTCTGATATTCTTACATTCTTAGTCCTGAAGCCTATGGGTGAGTAAGATACAGTATGCTGGCACAATACTTTTTTGTGTGATTGTGTTGTCAAAAATTTAATGCAGCTTTTTCTTGTTATTTTGTTTACAAAGTATGGATTCCAGCCTCAAATAATTAAAATACTGCTTATTATAATTAACCAATACAATTTGAATTTCTTTTTTAAAAGAAATATGAAATATATATCATGAACATATATATTGAATGTAATTTTGTCTCGCCTGCGACGAAAGTCACAGAAAGCGAGACATAGGGATTGCTTTTCCGGCGACAGACTCAACAATTGTTAAGTTTACTGCTCAAGTTAGTTTGAAAGGAACTACTTATGATAGATCATTGATATTTAATAGAAAGTTTCATTACTATCAGTACATATCAGTTTGACGACTATTTTGAGGCCTTGTCCTCTAGGACATGGTCTAGTGACTTTGAATTAATTAGCAATTTTTAATGTTAAGTTTTCTGTTTAAGTTAGTTCGATAGGATCTACTTGTCATAGATCAATGATATTTTGTTTGAAGTTGCATTACTATCAGTTCACATCAGTTTGATGACAATTTTGAGGTCCTGACCCCTAGGTCATGGTCCAGCCACTTTCAATTAATAAGCAATTTTCAATGTTAAGTTTTTCTGCTTTAGTAAGATTGATAGGAACTACTTACAAAAGACACCACTATTTTGGTATAAAGTTACATTACTGTCTGTACATCTCAGTTTATCAACCATTTTCAGGCCCTGTCCTCTAGATCATGGTCCAGCGACTGAATTAATAAGCAATGTTGCTGTCCGTCAGATTGTCTTTTTTTGAATTTTATGCAGACAGGCAGGACATATCTCTGTGTCAACAGTTTATTGTAAAAAGAGATTTGTAGAAAAAGTTTAAACTTTATACTGGTGCAATCCACATTTTAAGTTACCGGTATTCAACATTAAAAACCATAGATCTAAGCAACTTCTGTATGTATAAGGTGCTGCTTCTGGAAAGAGTACTAAGTTTCATGGTTTGAGGTTTGATTTTTTTTTAATCTTATCAAAAATTAATATACATGATACAAGATCTGAACCAAGGTTCCCGACTCATTATAGTCCACAGTTTCTGATTTTTGTCGAGCCTTCGACTTTTGTCGAAAAAGCGAGACATAGCGATCCTACATTCCGTAGGCGGCGGCGTCCACAAATATTCACTCTGTGGTTAAAGTTTTTGAAATTTTAATAACTTTCTTAAACTATCCTGGATTTCTACCAAACTTGGACAGAAGCTTGTTTATGATCATAAGATAATATTCAAAAGTAAATTTTGTAAAAAAAAAATTCCATTTATTCTGTATTTTACTTATAAATGGACTTAGTTTTTCTGCCAAGAAACATTACATTCACTCTGTGGTTAAAGTTTTTGAAATTTTAATAACTTTCTTAAACTATCCTGGATTTCTACCAAACTTGGAAAGAAGCTTGTTTATGATTAAAAGATAGTATCCAGAAGTAAATTTTGTAAAAAAAAAATTCCATTTTTTCCGTATTTTACTTATAAATGGACTTAGTTTTTCTGCTAGTTAACATTACATTCATTCTGTGGTTAAAGTTTTTAAAATTTTAGCAACTTTCTTAAACTATCCTGGATTTGTACCAAACTTGGACAGAAGCTTGTTTATGATTAAAAGCTAGTATCTAGAAGGAAATTTTGTTAAAATTTTGTTCAATTTTTTCCGTATTTTACTTATAAATGGACTTAGTTTTTCTTCCAGTTAACATTACATACAGTCTGCAGTTTAAGTTTTTAAAACGTTTATTAGATTCATAAACTATCCTGGATTTGTACCAAACTTGGACAGAAGCTACTTACAATCAAAAGATAGTATCTAGAGGAAAAATTTTTAATAATTTTTTCCCCTTTTTTGTTGAGCCTGCGACTAACAGCAAAAGTAGGCGAGACACTGGGTTCCGTGGAACCCTTACGAATTTTTATTTTTAGTTATCATAAGCTTCACTTTTGCTTGTGTTCAAAGCTTGGTTTTTATTTTCAGGTTATGAACCCAACAAAAAATCTTGATATCTGTGATAAAACTAAAGGAACTGCTGGTGAATATAAGATCTCAAAACATCAACATAACTACCTTCCTATGTCAAGGACAGAATGTAATCACTGCTGTGATTGGTCAAGTGAGGAAAGCTATCCAGCAGAAAATGGGTTCCATTATTGTGATTTATTGAAGATGTCTCAGTTGAGAGGACATTTCATTGATGATATTGTCTTTCACGATGCATGGCATTATGGAGTAGTAAACCTGTCAGATGAATTCTGAGGATTATGTACTAATAGCAGATCATTCCTTCAATAGATAATAGTGTCTCTTCTTTCTTCATTAACTTCTGAAAATAAACAGTCATTTTTGTATTCTAAAATATAGAATATTCATCTGCAGCAAAGAAAATTATAATATGAAATTATTGCTGATTGTGCTAATATCATGGATTTATTTCACATCTAGGACAGTTAAATTCACTTTTTTCGTTATTTGATTTATATTATCTTCCAATCATATTTAATCAAAAGTGGATTCATATATGAAAGGAAATGGTTTCACAAATATTACAAATAATTTTTGTGGGACTGAATTCTCTCTAGTCGCGCATCAGTTTTAACATAACTCTCATCATTAGAATTTTGAAAAGAAATTAAAACTATAATACATACATCATGGATTCATTGTTAATCATATTGGAATGAAATTCATAAATAACAAAAATTATATGCATAAGTAAATTACTAATAGAAAATACCCACAGTTTTCTCAACATATTATATTTTCTACTGCTTTGAATAGTTTAAGAATGTTTAATCAATCTTATTTCAGTTGAAGTTTTTTTATGAAGTTTATGGACAGACTATGGAGTTTTATTGTGACTGTAATATCCACAGTCTGTTTTTTTGGCAGATAAGGAGTTTTAGTGTATATTATTTTCAGAGTCTATTTATTGGCAGACTAGGAATTTTACTGTGACTATAATTTCCAGTCTGTTTATTGGCAGACTAGGAGTTTTACTGTGACTATAATTTCCAGTCTGTTTATTGGCAGACTAGGAGATTTACTGTGACTCCCACAGTCTGTTTATTGACAAACTAGGAGTTTTACTGTGACTGTAATTTCCAGTCTGTTTATTGGCAGACTAGGAGTTTTACTGTGACTATGATTCCCAGTCTTTAGTGACACAGTAGGAGTTTCAGGTCTGATATTTCCAGAGTCTGTTTATGGACAAACTTAGACTTTTACTGTGACTGTAATTTATTGACAAACTAGGAGGTTTACTGTGACTGTAATTTATGAACAAACTAGGTGTTTTACTGTGACTTTAATTTCCATGGTCTGTTTATGGTCAAATGAGGAGTTTTACTGTGACTGTAATTTATTGACAAACTAGGAGCTTTACTGGTCTGTAATTTCCACAGTCTGTTTATTGACAAACTAGGAGTTTTACTGTGACTTTAAATTCCCCAGTCTGTTTATGGACAAACTAGGAGTTTTACTGTGACTGTAACTTCCACAGTCTGTTTATGGACAAACTAGGAGTTTTACTGTGACTCTAATTTCCACAGTCTGTTTATGGACAAACTAGGAGTTTTACTGTGACTCTAATTTCCACAGTCTGTTTATTGACAAACTAGGAGTTTTACTGTGACTGTAATTTGTTTATAATGAATCTCACTATTGTCAAATTTTACTATTTAATTTATTTAGATTATTTATTTTGTCTATGTAATGAGATGTTTTATTTTTGTAATTCAGAACATCCATATTAACTTGTGCGTATCACAATAATTGTAAGATGTGATTTTCATGCTTTCTGCATTCTATTTTGTAATTGTATTTTAGCTGTCATTTGAGTTCACAAATTTATCCAAGTCTCTAGCATGATCAGCAAAACTCTGATTTAGGCATTTACATTCTACAGCAACCTTGATGATAGCTTTCCTCTCTTTGTCACATTTTAGTTTTCCACACTTTATTTAGTAACTGGTTGAGATGTTTGACAAGATATTTTAAAATAATGTCAGTTTTGAAGGGGTGGGTGTTGAGAACTCATTTGAGTTTGGACAATCTTTTTTACATCTGGACCCTTGAACTTAAAATTTGATTAACAGTTTTTTACTTTTTTTTCTGAATTACTACAGAAATTAATATGAGATTTGGTATAAAACAAGTTATCAATAGTGCTGAATTCTTTTCTTTTTTTTCACAGAATTATGCAATTTTGATTTTGATTTTTTAAAATAACAGGTTTCTGCACTTTTTTCCTGTAATGTTCAGGTATTACCATCAATATGAAAAGTATGGGTTAATCTACTTTTCACAGAATTACAGCCTTTTAGTATTGAATTTAAAGAAATTAAATGGTTTTTACACATTTTTCTCAAAGTTTATCAAATTTATGATATAAAATGATTTAGTGTGGTACTCTGTTATTCACATTTAGAATAGTTACAGGTTTTATGGAATGATGCCCCCTTTTTTTCCATGAACTTCAAAAAATATATTATCAATGCTCATCTTCAGATATTACTGCGGGCAACTAAGATACGTGTTGCCTAGAATTTCTTTATAGCAATTCATACAATAAAGTTGGAAGTGGAATTTATATACTATTATTAGTATCACAAAGGATTGTAGCATACATTATAACTTTTTATGATATTTGAAGCAATTGCTTTGTTTAAGAAGATATTTTATCATATATAAATGAAAAACAAGTATACTGTTCTTATCTTTCAAAGAATTATTTTTGTAAATGCACAATTTATATTTAGGGATGTTTAGTCCTGGTGCCTGACCGTTTCACTAAGGGTACATATAGTACTTTTAAAATAAAAATGGCATTCATTTTTAATAATTTTTCCAGGTCTTTATATTTTAAAAAATCAAAACTAGTTTCACATCGTTAGACAATGTTTTTTGTAATACTGATTCTCTGTTTTTGCAGCTTTCACAGCGACATTCATGTGAGAATTTGTTTGTGATGTTAAAAGAAATAGTTATTTATTTCTATCAACAATGAAATAACCGTGTTATAAAAAAAGCCACCCTCCTTTTTTTAATCAGTATTATCAAAGATAATATGTGGCTTTTGTTATTTTTCCACATTAGCATGCACATTGATTACCTTTCAGTTCTTTTATAAAGTTTATTGAAATATAAAAATTTAAAGGTATTAAAAAAATTTAAATGCAGAGTTGGAAAGTTTTTCTGTATCTGGTCGTTTAGTGATGTACCAGTACTCTAAATTTGAACAGATTGGTTGAATGATATATCAGGGGAAGCATTTATTGACTGTAGAAGCTATAATAAAAAAATGAAAATACAAAATTTGAGGTCAGGAGAATATGTTTATTTGATGACCTTGTTGTGAATATTGTACATACGTGTAATATGTATATAATATGATTTATCATAACTATTCAGAAACTTCTGTTTTGTAGGAACAATGACAAAATAATGAATTGTTAATTAAAAATAATGTGAAAAAAACAGAATTGTTTTTATTTTTAGCACACCTTGCTCAAAGGGCCAAGTGAGCTTTTCTCTTCACTTGACGTGAGTTGTTGTTAACTTTTACAAAAATCTTCTCTGAAACTACGGAGTCAGCTTTAACCAAACTTGGCCAGACTATTTCCTATGGAGTAATTGCCCTTAAATGACAAATTTTACCTTTTTATTTTTATACGACCACGGTCATGTATTGCCATCACGTCGTCGTCGTCTGAAGACATTTGGTTTCCGGACAATAACTTTAGTTTAAGTTTATGGATCTCTATGAAATTTAACCAAAAGGAAGGTTGGGATTGTTTTTGGGTGTGATGTCTTTTAAATTGTACCACATTTTACAAAAAGAAAATTTCTTCAAATATTTTTTTTTGGAGGGGGGGGGGGGGGGGGGGGGGGGGGGTACATTTTTTTTTCCTCAAGATTTAAGAAATTGTCAATTTTCCAAAGAAAAATTGGGGGTACAATTTATTTTGCTAATTCTTTGTATATAGTCTGAAAACAGATTTACTAAGCATTTCGCAACATCACAGTGTATTGAATGTGTCAAATATTTAATAGCCCAAATTCAGACCTGTATCAAGCTTGAATATTGTGTCCATTTTTGCCCCAACTGTTCAGGGTTGGACCTCTGCGCTAGTATCCAGCTGCACTCAGCGAAGCAGTTTATTGCTTATTATCTTAAAATTTTAATAGAAAGAGAGAAACTTAAAATAGCAAAAATGATCAGCATGACAAGGTCTACAAATAAGTCAACATGGTTGAAACTGTCAGACTACTCATTATTGGAGTTACTGCCCATTACTGACAATTTTTACCAATTTTTGTCTTTCCTTGATGGAGTCAAAAAGCGAGACATAGGTATGCTGTTTCCAGCGGCTGTGACAAGAATGTATTAGTTTGTGATTAGGTCTAGTTTATGGTGAACCACAAGTGGTAGGTCAATGATATTTGGTATGCAGTTGTATTAGCATTGGCAAATCTCATTTCCATGGAGATTAATTGGCCCTGCCCCCTCAGTCATGGTCTATTGACTTTGAAACTTTTGCTTAGTTTACATGGATTAGTTTGTGAATAGGTCAGTTCAAGGGGAACCATTAGTGATAGGCCAATGTTAATTGGTATTCAGTTGTATAAGCATTAGCACATCTCATTTCCATGGAGAATATTTGGCCCCGCCCCCTCAGTCATGGTCTATTAACTTTGAAACTTTTGCTTAGTTTACATGGATTAGTTTGTGATTAAATCAGTTTAAGATGAACTGCTAATGTTAAGTCAATGATATTTGGTATGCAAGTTTATTGGCATTTGCAAGTATCGTTTCCATGGAGATTATATAGCCCCCCCCCCCCCCCCCCCCCCCCTCATCATGGTTCATTGACTTTGAAACTTTTACATAGTTTACAAGTTAATGTTTGTGTTTAGGTTTGTTTAAAGGGAACGACTTATAATAAGTCAATGGTATTTGGTATGCAGTTGTATTAGCATTGGCACATCATGTAGATTGTTTAGCCAAGTACCTTCAGTCATGGTTCATTGACTTTGAATATTTGCGTAACTTACATGTTAAAGTATTGCTATTTTAATTTCAACATTTGCATTATCAAATAACAAAAAGGCAAGACATATCTCTGTGATAACAGTTTATTTTTGTTATTGCCTTGTATCTGAAAAACTGTAATAGATAGATAGAAACTTAAATAAGCAAAAATTATCAGCAAGACAAGATCTACAACTAAATCAGCATGTCAATGAAATCGTCTGATGGTCGCTTATTATAGTTGAAACCCTTTAATGATGAATTTTACCATTTTTAGCTCACCAGGGCCCTTCGGGCCCCATGTGAGCTTATGCCATCACTTGGCGTCCGTCGTCGTCCATCGTCTGTCATCTTGAAACTATTTCAAAAATCTTCTCCTCTGAACTACTGGGCCAAATACCTTCAAACTTTAACTAAATGTTCCTTAGGGTATCTAGTTTATAAATTGTATCCGAAGTTTTGATCCATCGACAAACATGGCCGCCATGGCTAAAAATAGAACATAGGGGTCAAATGCAGTTTTTGGCTTATATCTCAAAAACTAAAGCTTTTAGAGCAAATCTGACACGGGTAAAATTGTTCAATTGGTCAAGATCTATCAGCTCTGAAATTTTCAGACGAATCGAACAACCCATTGTTGGGTTGCTGCCACCGAATTGGTAGTTTTAACAAAATTTTGCAGTTTTTATACGACCGCAAAAAAATTTTTGTGGTCGTATATTGGTATGCATTGTCGTCGTCATTGTCGTCGTCCGAAGACACATTAGTTTTCGCACTTTAACTTTAGTTTAAGTGAATGGATCTCAATGAAATTTTACCATAAGGTTCAATACCACAAAAGGAAGGTGGGGATTGATTTTGGGGGTTATGGTACCAACAGTTAAGGAATTGGGGGCCAAAAATAAGCATTTTTGTAACTTCCAGACATAACTTGTGTGTAAGTGTATGGATCTCTCTGACATTGTACCACAAGGTTCCATATCACAAAGGGGATGCTGAGATTGATTTTGGGGGTAATTGCCTCCAAATTTTAGGAATTAGGGGCCAAAAAGGGGCAAAAAACAAGCATTTTTCTAGTTTCATGACAATAACTTGTGTGTTAGTGTATGGATCTCTCTGACATTGTATCACAAGGTTCCATATCACAAAGGGAATGCTGGGATTGATTTTGGGGGTAATTGACTCCAAATTTTAGGAATTAGGGGCAAAAAAGGGGCAAAAAACAAGCATTTTTCTAGTTTCATGACAATAACTTGTGTTCAAGTGCATGGATCTCTCTGATATTGTACTGCAAGGTTCCATATCACAAAGGGAATGCTTGGATTGATTTAGGGGGTAATTCCCTCAAAATTTTAGGAATTAGGGGCCATAAAAGGGCAAAAAAACAAGCATTTTTCTAGTTTCAGGACAATTACTTGTGTGTTAGTGTATGGATCTTTATGAAATTGTACTGCAAGGTTCCATATCACAAAGGGAAAGCTGGGTTTGAGTTTGGGGTAATTGCCCTAAACGTTTAGGAATTTGGGGCCAAAAAACAAGCATTTTTCTAGTTTCCAGACAATAACTTGTGTTCAAGTGTATGGATCTCTCTGAAATTGTACTGCAAGGTACCATACCACAAAGGGAAGGCTGGGATTGAGTTTGGGGGTGATGAATCATAAGAGGGTTCAAAAAATTTGGGGGGGGGATTTTTTTTCCTTTTTTTTCTTTAGAATTTTCCATTTTAAATTGGTTATTTCTGATTTATATAAAAAAGCAAATAATAATGATATGGTTTGAATAGGTAAGTTAAAAAATTTTAAGTTCTTAGACCACTTTCATTCTGTGTCAGAAACCTATGCTGTGTCAAATATTTAATTACAATCCAAATTCAGTGCTGTATCAAGCTTGAATGTTGTGTCCATACTTGCCCCAACTGTTCAGGGTTCGACTTCTGCTGTCGTATCAAGCTGCGCCCCAGCGGAGCATTTTATTTGTTATTATTTTGAATATTATTATAGATATATATATAAACTGTAAGCAGCAATAATGTTCAGCAAAGTAAGATCTACAAAAAAGATAATATGACCATAATTGTCAATTGACCCCTTAAGGAGTTATTGCCCTTTAAAGACAATTTTACACAATTTGTTCATCAAGTTTGCTAACATTTAAAAATCTTCTCTGAAACTACTGGGCCAATTACCTTCAAACTTAAACTAAATGTTCCTTAGGGTATCTTGTTTATAAATTGTATCAGAAGTTTGTATCCATCGACAAACATGGCCACCATGGCTAAAAATAGAACATAAGGATCAAATGCAGTTTTTGGCTTATATCTCAAAAACTTAATCTTTTAGAGCAAAAGTGACATGGGGTAAAATTGTTTAATTGGTCAAGATCTATCGGCCCTGAAATTATCAGACGAATCGAACAACCCATTGTTGGGTTGCTGCCACCGAATTGGTAGTTTTAACAAAATTTTGCAGTTTTTTGTTATTATTTTGAATATGATTATAGATATATATAAACTGTAAGCAGCAATAATGTTCAGCAAAGTAAAATCTACAAAAAAATTAATATGACCAAAATTGTCAATTGACCCCTTAAGGAGTTATTGCCCTTTAAAGACAATTTTACACAATTTGTTCATCAAGTTTGCTAACATTTAAAAATCTTCTCCTCTGAAGTACAGGTGAGTGATTCAAGCTCTTGAGAGCCTCTTGTTTTGCTTTTGTGCCTATTATCTGAAAAACTATAATAGATCGATAGATTGAAACTTAAGTAAGCAAAAATGATCAGCAAGACAAGATCTACAAATAAGTCAAATTTTGTTGAAATCATTAGTCGACTCTTTATAGTAGTGATTGCCTTTAAATGACAATTTGTTTACCCTTTTTTGTGTTTTGGGCAAAAACTACAGAAGATGGAGAGAACCTGTTAACAGAACAAAATTATCAGCAATAACAGATCAACAAAAAAGAGATTTTTGTCATGAATTCTATTCTAGTCCACAATGTTGGAGTGTGTGATTGTTGAACATGCACATAGACCTAGGTGAGCGACACAGGCTCTTTAGAGTCTCTAGTTATTTATTGTTGAAAATAATACTTTAAAGGAAATGTCTTCAATAACAACAGGAAGGAAAGGTTATAGTTTGAGGAATGCTGACCAGGAGTCTGGATGTCAACAATTTAGTCCTGGACAAAAAATTTGGAGTCATAAATAATAGTTTTACTAAACTTGGTTTGATATTATGCCATAGGAATACAAAGACCTTATTGATTTTTGCAGTCGAAGGTAAACAGTTGAGGTACTATCAACTGACTTGTTGCCCTATAATGACAATTAGTTTAACTTTTTTTAGGTCACCTGGCCCAAATTATATAATATAGACTCTTTGATATAATATTCAATTGACAGCTTTTAGATTTTGATGCCCTGTGTGAAACAAGTACAGGGGAAATTGGCCTAACCTCTTTCCATCACCAATCACATAGTTACTGCTACTTAACTGGTTTTTGCTGAAAGTTTTCTACCTGCTTCCACCTTAACAGCAATTATTTGTCAAGAAATGAATAAAGACCATTTTCTTTGATGGTGGAAATAACTACCAAACATAGGCCAAGAAATATTGCTTTAAATTTATGAAAAATAGTCATCATTGATTGAATATTCATTGCTATAAAAGCTTACCGTAGGCCAGTTAGAACATAAATAAGACATTCCCAAGTTTATGTGTTTGGTAGCATACATAACTGCAATGAAACTTGAAACCCTCAAGGAAGAAAAACAAGTGTCCTAACGCTTGTTACAACATAATTAATCAGAACAAATCTTGCAGGCATGATGTACTTTATAATACATGTATTTCAATCTGGCAAAAAGAAAATTCTTAATTCTGATTGGTAAGCTTTTCAATTATTTTCTCAAAATTCTGTTCTTTTGACACCGGGTAATAATATGATTAAGCTTCATTAGAATGATGGTTTGAAGACTCTTTACACAGATCTGATGTAATGGTATCCAAAGTAGATATGGTGATGTACAAACATCTCCAGTAAACTGTATATTATTTCCTTTAATTCTCTGAAGTATAATGTATGTATGGAAAATCATACGTGAGTAACCTACATTACTGTGCTCCAGTGAAAAATATGGCCGGCAGAAGTAATTCTAGATGGTAATTATAAAAACTTCTCTAAAATTACTGGACCAAAAATTTTCAAACTTTAAAAGAAATTCTAGAGGTCAAGACATAATACATTGTATTATATGTCTCTTATGGTAAAATGTATGTCCCAATCATTTAGATTTTTTTCTCACCTGGACGAAAGTGAGCATTTGCTATTGTGGGCATCCATTGTCTGTCGGTTAACTGTTCACAGTTTAATTTTGAGAACCACTTTCAGAATTTGGCACAGCAGCTCATCAAGGGGCTTTTCAGAATGGTGTTACGTTTGTGCCGATTCATCAACAAATATGGCCGCCTTTTCTACCTTCTGATGGTTGAACTTGTGGAAAATTTCTGAAGAACGACTTAACCCACTGTAACCAAATGTCAGATGTGTTCCTTTTCAGGCCCTTAACAAGTGTTGCTTCTTTGGTGCCTCTTGGAAATTCAATGTTGACACTAGTCAAGGTAAAAGTTTAATTGAAGCCCTACATGACATTACATTTTGCTTATAACGTCCAGTGACAAATATTCCTTGACGAGAACAAATTGATAATAAATTTAATAGGGAGGCTAGGCAAAGTGGGTTGACTCGTACAGATATATATACTAAGTATATATGTCTCTGACTCGTATGAAGAACGGTTTTGGGCTGCCACTCAAAACAAAATGGCGACATGATATAGAGAAAGAAAGATTTGCATTACAAGTCCACTTTCAAGACCCTTGAAGAGTTGTTTCTATGGTACTTTAACTTGTAAAAGAACATCGAAACTCTACACGAGGCAACGGATGTAACGTAACCATTCCGATCGGACGTGACTGTTTATCATTTGACATCCTGTACAACCTAAAGAATGTCCGTATCCATCAGAGGGAGAAACTGGTGTCGAAGTATCCTCGTGATATATGTCTCTGGTTTTAGGTTTTTTATCCTCCTACTGTCCTTAAACAACCTCCGTGTTATCCTTTTTTTTTGTAAAACCATTTATAGCCTCTGGTCCCCCTCAGGGGCGGATCCAGGATTTAAGGTTAGGGGGGGCGCAAATTTAAATTTTCGCCGAGCGGAGAGAGACGAAAATTTTTTTGAGGTAAAATTATCGAAATATTCTTAATTAAGCTGAGGACAACCCATGCTTTGCAAATTTAAGGGAGGCGCACGCCCGCCACGCCCCGCCTGAATCCGCCCCTGCCCCTGTTAAAGAGTTGTTTAATATAAAACAAAGTTAAAATAACAATTATAACACAATTTAAAAGTTTCAAGTGTATCCAAAATCACAAAAATATGAACCGCTCATCAGCATCAGTTTTATAACACTTGCTACTTCCGATCATAAAGTTGAAGTCTTAAATGTCTTAAATCAAAGGGTGCTCATGTCAGTGTTCGTCCCGTCGACATTTTGCTTTGATAGTTAATGAAAGGTAATCCAAGCAGCAAAAAATAACTGACGCTGATTGCATTCAAATGGCGCGTGACTGGTACTTCAAATAACGGTTCCAAGATGCAAATTTTGTACAATTATATAGAAGTTTTTGTAAAAAAAATAGATATCGCTGAAGAAAAATATAGCAGAATGGAATTATTTAGTGTGCGGTATAGACGTGCATATATATGGATCTATAGTTTGCGACGGGTGTCTGGAATGGTATCACCTGAAATCCGTTGGCCTCAACTTACTGCTACATAAGGTGTCATACTGAGTGTGCAGGAAGTGCCACCAAAATAAATAGCTAAAAGATTTTAAATATGTATAAATGTGCTTTCAATTTATCATTGCTATGTTTGATAAATAATTTTCTATTTATATGTATTTGTTCAAATATGTCAGGGACAGTCTGTACTAAATATAGACGATCCCTGAATATGTATACGGGACAATGACACGAAGACAATACAAAGTATCCCGATGCTACACACAAAAAGGCATAATTTTCAAATTCTATGTAAAATTTTGCAGGTACCAATAAAAAAACAATATTCTGGTTACCTGCAATTTCCGTATGAAATCGGGTCCCTGTCCGAAAATATATTTCGGTAATTAGTCTCGGAAGTAACAATAATTATTTCTCAGTATTGTTACTTTTTGCGGGTAATCGTAGCCAGTGCCTTGTATAATTGCATCAACAAGAACCGCCTACAAAAAAAACGGTATTATCGAAAATAAACCGGTTTGCATGCAGTACCTTGAATACTGACAGACAACACATCTTGCCGTATTCTTAATACGTTTGCTTTATTCACCTGAGATCGTATGTGTTTATCGAATTCATGCTTAGAGTCTATATATTAGTTCCTATATTGTTATCGACTCTCACTGTTTCTAGTGTTTTTTCTGAACCGTCATATATCGACATCTTGTACGGCTCATAGGGGGTAGACAGGGATGATAAGCGGTGAGTTTGGAATGCCACTGGCACATTGGATAGGGACATACGTTTAGCCTTGCAACAGGCCACCTACGAACCCCTCACAGAGTTGCTACAAGGGTTATAAAACATGGATAGAGCGTTGCATATTCTTTACACAATGCATCGGATTTAACGTCCCCTTTCTGACAGGACGTGGCTGCAAATTTATACATCCCGTACAACCAAAACGGACGCATCTTTGGCAATGGTTTTGCTGTCGG